ACAAGTGGCTTGAAGGGCCGATACATGCAGATATGCGGCACTCATCTACTTTGGGTTACTGGGTGCTCGGCCAAAAATAGGAGGTAAACATGAATATAATCACTATATCAAATCACAGATATAACCCTATGGCACATTGGGCTGTGTTTTTTGTCAGTCACAGAGCAGCGAATTATCGGAACGGAGAGGTTCAAATGTCGGTCAGGAAAGCAAAAAGAAGTTATTAGGGATTGGAACTTAATTAATAGGGAGCTTTAGCATCGACGACGGCAACGGCAGCGAAAACGTCAGTTTTAAAATGAACTCCCGTTTTTTCAATCTTTGTCGCGTTTATTCATATTTGCTGAAAATGGCAAGTGTAGGCGAATTTCCCTGGAGTTGAGGACCGCACTCAAGTTTAGAGAGAGAAAAAGAGATTCGTCGTCGCTTGTTTACGTCCCCCATAAAACTTGCAATTAGGCATTTTCACGTCGTAGTCGTGCAAGGACGGTAAAGAAATGTACAAAAAAGTGTGATGCACGTGCAAAGTTGTAGTTTTGCGTAATAAACCTATTGCTTTTTTGACGTCCTAGTTGCCGTCGCCGTCGTCGTTGCTAAAGCTCCCTAATCACGAGGGCGACGGCAACGAGAACTTCAACTTAAAGCAATAGGTTTTGATGACTAGCAAAACCTTAACTTTGCATGTGCAGAACACCTTTTTGGGTATTATTGTTTACCGTCGATGAACGAAAACGACGTGAAACTTCCTAATTTCACGTTTTATCGATCGAGGACGCGAACACAAAATAGTGATTTTCTACTTCTTTTTCTGAACTTAGAAACATTTCGTTGTAATTCAACTCCAGAAAAATTTGCCAACATCATAATAACTTGAATTACAAGGAGAAAGAGTGCTGAAGTTTGAAACAGCCGGAATTCACTTTAAAAAAAAAAAACGTTCCATTTGTGATGCAGTCGCCTTCGTGGTTGCTTAAGTTCCGTCATGACCTGACTTTCAACTAGGAATTAGGGCCATGATTTACTTTATTTAGAGAACTGTTTTTTTTGTCCTCTACGCCATCAATAATAATAAAAATCAAATCATTCGACAATAGACTAAAAAGTCACTGAGAGTCCGAGACACGATGAAAGATTTTTGGCCTCCTTTCATTTAGAAAATGGCATATTTTTTTCTTTTTATCCTAGTCTTATTTTTCGGACACGTAGTGTAGCTGCTGGAAATAAAAAAGGAACTTATTTAAACTGGATAAATAATTCTCATTACAGGCGTTTTTCTCTTTATCCGGGAACCAAGCCAGTTTTAGACGGCGCCCACCAAGGGTTAAATCATTCGAGTTTTTTTGGCAACCACGTTATGTTTAAAAACTGCATGTAAAAAGAACAGCAATTAGATATGCAATGTCCCAAGTTTTCCGGTTCCATTTCTTGCTTCTTAGAAGGATCAAGGGTAAATATCAGGCTCAAGATGTCACTGTCAATGATTTTCGAAGTTTTTTGCAGCCACAGTGACCAACAAATCAATGATACCAATGTGCCCAAAACTGCAACACTATGTATGGTATTCGGGAGACTGCTTTGTCGTGGATTAAAAGCTATCTTGAGGATCGGACTCAATTCGTCCAGTTTGGGCCCAGCCGATCTTACCAGAGAAGAATTTCATGTGGCGTCCCACAATCCTTGGACCTTTTCGGATAATTACTTACCTCTTCGTTATGTCTCTAGCCTGACTCAATCTTTACTGGTCTTTACCCTTTGCTGATGATACAAAACTTTTTTGTTCCAAAGGGATACCGACCATCTTATTTCTATTGAACTTGCAAAATAGTTACTTGGCTTAAAGCGAATAAGTCATCTCTAAACTTGACTAAAACGAACTCTATGATTTTTCATCCAAGGAAAAAGAAAATTAATGCTGGTGTTCCTCTGGGGAAAATATTGTGATCAAGCAGAAATTAGTCGTGGACACTAAATTCGTAGGTGTTATTATTGATCACTGGAAAAACTCCGTTAGCCCCGTTTCTAAAAAAATCCTCGAAAACTATGGGGATTATTGCGAAAGCCTCCTTTTATCTATCATCCAAAACGTTGCTGACCTTACATTACTCACCAGTATGTCCCTACCTAATGTACTGTAATGTTGCCTGGTCTTCCATCTGTTACTCTAACCTAAATTGTATTTACCTTTTGCAAAAGTGCATAGAGCGACGCATAGCAAAAGCTCGCTATCTAACAAATACCGCGCCCTTATATTTAGCCAACTTAAAGTCCTTGGCATATACAGCATTGCATGTTACTTTTATGTATTCGTATCACCATACTGGTCTGCGTAATAACTTTCGTAACTTCTTTTAAGTAGTAATCGGGTTCACCACGATGAAATTTTACTAGCCTCTCAGTACTGACAGACCTCAATTTTGCCTGAACACGAACATTGAGCAGTTCAGTATCCTTTATCGAGGACTAACAATCTGGAATTCGTTGCCTATGTCACTGACCAGCTCTTCTTCCTTGTTTGTTTTTATAAAGAAAAATTCTGAAAAATGTTTTCATTGATAGTCATTCGATCGACTGTCGCTGAAGTTTTAAGTTTTCTGTACCAGCTCTGTACTCAAGCAGGTAATTAGTAATCTAGTTCAAGGAAGCCTATCAATATAAGCTCCCAGCTTCGTTAGGTTTCCTTGTCTCATTGGTTTACAGTTTAATTAACAACTTTTGTTCAATGTGTTTAATATTATGTAGTGTGAGTGCCCAAACAAACAAAATAAATAAATAAAAAATGCTTTCAGGGACAGCCGAACTTTAAGTTGTGATACGGGAGGGAACGACAGCTGAGTGGTTCTGATAAACAGGTTCGGCGAGGCTCCGGAGTACCGGACCTCGCAATTGCTTTTCCCTTAATTCTAAAGTGTAACTCTTCAGTAGCCTCAAGGTTTAGGACTCGAAAGAATATGGCGAATTCATATCCGAATTTTGGCGCATTGAACTCATTTTCAGCGTACAGGACTTTGACAACTACAAAGCAGCTTGTTTCCACCGTGCTTTGAGAGCTGCGTGGTACTGCAGAAGTAAGAAAGGAGGCTGCATGAGAAATTTACACCATCTTTTTCAGCTTGTTTGACAGAGGTTGTTTGGAGATGCCTTCAGCTGGGGCTTAGGCTATTCACTTTGCACGGTTTGTCGCCTTCGCACAGCCTGCATGGCAGGGGTTGAAAGGAAAGGGGAAAGAAGGGAGAGGAGTTCCCTTTCGCGCTTTTCTTCCCCTTTCCCCTTCCCTTTTTTGCGCCTGCCACGCTGCCACTCTTTTCTCCTTCTCCCTCCCCTTATATGCCCCTTCCACGCTTTTCTTCACCTTCCTTCCCTTTTTTGCGCCTCCACGCAGGCTACCCTCTCGATATTGTCCAGCCTAACATGTTTAGGTGACAGTAAAAGATAAAAGTGACAAGTGACAGGTAATAGTGACAATGTACTGGGGAGAGTGATTTTCAGGGCCTGAATTCAAAGTCTTCATAAATTTATAGGAAAGTCATTTCAGTGGCTCTCACCCCCACCATTTGCAAGGAGTTCTTTAATCATTGCAATTAACTTTTTTCCACTTCCATTTCCAAACGTTCTTTTTAAAGGATTATAACTAATAGGTAGTCTGGATCATGTGTAATTTATTTGGCCAGTGAATGTGATGGTTGTCTGTAGATGGTGTTCAGCTTTGTGATTGTTGAAATTACCTTTTCTGGTCGCTCGTTTGTGTTCCGTCAGTCGCATGCTGATGGTTTCTGCCGGTTTCACCAATGTACCTGGCCTGGCAGTCGCATGCGGCATTTGATCTTGTATACTGCTCCCTGTCTGTCCTCCGGTCTGTCTTAGTCTTAAAATAAAATTCGTTAACAGTCGTCTTAAAGGGGCTAACGACTTATGTGCAACGCGTATATTGTAAGATTGTAGAATACATGCGATGGTTTCAGAGGTGCCTCTCATCTAAGGAATCACGGTAGCTGTCATTGGACTGCTTGGTTACCAGTAACAGAAACAGACAACAAACGAAAATCAATTTCACAGAAAACCGAAACAGTTTGCTGGATCGGTCATCTTACAGCCCACTCTCTCACAAGGCTACAACTATAAACAAGGGCCGAGATTTCGAAAATGCATGTTTGCACCATTCATTGAAGGCCACTGGACATCTACGTCTGAATTTGGACATGCATAAGTATCTCTAAAAATTTATGATCAGCACAATTCATACCTAGAACTACTTTCACTAAATCTTTCTGTTAAATTAAATTCCAACTTAAGCCGTGTAATCGAACGAAACTGACTACTGTGCATGTCATAGATTTGACCGGGGCAGACTTTTGTCACGTAGAGGTAGCCACAGTACGATGTGTGGGTGCGAAGCCATTGTCATAAGTTCAACTGCACTCTGTTTTCTAATTTATAAAAGGTTACTCTTTCAAGCTTGCAAAATTACATAGAATGAAGAAAATAAAGGTGAAAATCAATCGATAATTGCCGCATATCTTTAATTTATCAGCAAACCAATAGCAACCACAAATTATTTACAACCTCTCCTTTTCTTAGATACAACTGTCAACTACAAATTAAAACGGCTTCAAAATAGATTACGAAAACGGTCTAAAACGTTCATTCCTTGAAAACATGCACAACCCTGCATTAACATACTTCTTATCCTCAAAATTAAAGTAGACCTTTAAATCAATATCGCTATAGAACCTTCAACAACCAAACCTGACTTAGCACACTACTGCAGTCTACCGTATTATAATAATTTTTCTCCGATACTAAAAACAACTCTTTCCAGTCAATCAACCCCAGTGGGCCTTCGCAGTTCTCTATAAAAGAAAATAGCGGGCCAACGCTTTTATACATATCTGTCCTTTTTATATATGTAGGAGAGGCTCAATTGAAACCGAATGTTGTAACCCTAAACGTTAAAAGCACAGCAACTAGATACGCAGTGTCCCAAGATTTGTTCCCGTCTTGCTTCAAGGGCCAACCATCAAGCTCACGATGTTCCTGGCAGTGACTTTCGAAGTTTCTCCGGTCACAGTGACCAACAACTGATCAACGCTTCCGGCGACAGCCGAACTTTTAGCAATGAAACGGACGCGGACGACAGCGTAACGGTTCTGGTAAACAGTGATCGGCGAGGCTGAGTACTCGGCCTTGAAGTTGACAGTTTCCTTGATTTGAAATGTGAACTTTTCAGTAGCCCCGGAGTTTAAGATAAAGAACATGGCGAATTCATAGCTGGATTTTGGGGCAGTGAACTCATTTCGGGCGTACATGAGTTTGACAACTACATGGCTTGGTTCCACCGTGCTTTGAGAGTTGCGTTCAAACTGGAAGTTCTTCTTCGTCTTCCCTTTAAGCTGCATATTGAAGGCTTCCGCGGGAGTAGGAAAGGAGGCTGAGAAATGTACACCATCTCCCCCAACTTGTTTGAGAGGGGTAGTGTGGAGAGACCTTCCATCCGTGCTTAGGATATTCAGTTTTAGTGAACTGGGCTGCAACTTTTCAGCTCCCCGTACTATCAGAATGACGTGGGCAGTTTTCCCTGAAAAATGATTAAGATTGATCTTGTTTTGATAACTTTGTCCCATGTAAGAGAATCCAACACAATCTGGGATTCTAGATTCCACGCCGTGGATTCCGGATTCCAGGTACTGGATTACAGTCTTTTGTCAGTAGAATCTGGATTCTGTTCCACTCTTAGTGGGATTCCGGATTCCTTGAGCTGTATTCCAGATTCCAAAGCTCAGGATTCCGGGCTCCACAAGCAGAGTTTCTCCGGATTTCCGATTCCACCAGCAAAAATGCCCCGGATTCAGGAATCCAGATTCCTGAATCTGTAACCCTGATTACATTGGGAGAATAACTGTTTGTGTCAATCAGTATTGCAATGTCAGTTTGCATCGTTTTTAACCGCGGTGTGCTGCTCCCGATTCAGAAATAAATGATTGGGAATATATGAGCTTTTTTTATAGTTCTTAATTATTATATATTTTTCTTTGCGATACAGAGATCGTCAAATTGTTTTTAGTGTATGAGGAGCTATGAGGGCAACTATGGGGTTTGTTGTCAATATGTATTCATTGTACGTTCCCAAAACGTAAATTAGTAGTGATATAGGGATGTTTTAGTCCTCTTTTCTGGATTTAGTTAACTTTAAAAAGGGGACTAAAGCATCCGTGTACCACTAGTTCAATTGGTTGATAAGTTGAGGCCAGCTTCTTACTGGACACTATTATACATAAAAAAACACATTTGTTTTGTTGTTGTTGTTGTTGTTGTCTTTGTTCTTTATTTTTACGAATAATAGAAAGTCTTAAACAGGTGCATTATAAGCCCTGACCTAGCGCTGGCGGCCTAGCACTGTGATCATGATCCCGTTGTAAATCTCAACCGTCAACTATCTCACTAGTTGCACCTTTTCAGTGGTCCAAGTCACCTCCTTCTCCAGGAAGAGTTAACAAATAAGTATGTGTAATCAAATGGTGACGAGTGAAATTAGGGAATAATTTCACGCGCGTTTTGTCCAAATCCTAATAATTTCCCGAGCCTTTAGGCGAGGGATAAAAGGCTCGGGAAATAATTAGGATTTGGACAAAACGCAAGTGACATTATTCCCTTATTTCACGAGTATACCATTTGATTACCTGTTAATATCATGGGTGACGAATTACGTTAGCAATCTTGGATTTTTGACATGTTTATCCTTGATCGTATCGATCGAGAACTCCAACTCTCTCAAATGTTTAGACCTTAAATTTGGCTTATAAAGTTCAGAATTTTTCTGACGTTTTCGGCAAAATACCTGTTAGAATCCTTCTTGATGTTCTCTTGAGTGTTCAGGGTTTCTAAAGCTTTTTTTATGCCCTGAAATCTTCATTCACGGCGTTTTAAAACTTCGCCGCCATCTTGACATTGTGACGTACGGAAGGGTTGCCATGGCAATTTTGTAATTTCACATGTGAAATTACAAATTAACGCTGAAATTTCGCGCCAAAATTAAGGAGTAATTCGTCACCTATGATACTAGGAACGAAAACTTACCCTTCAAGGGATAGGGAATGGGAAAGGGCGTCCTTGTTCGACGTGGAGTGACAAAGATGAAGTCGAACACCACATTTGTCTTGCTGGATCCTTTGAACAAATATGTGTACTTTCCCGCCTTCGGCGACACTACCAGCTGCCAGATTCCTGGTGTTGGGTTCTTTACATCAAATATTGTCACTTTGGACAGCACGGTCTTCCCAGAGGTGACAAAACTTCCCAGGGGATCTTTTAGGTTGATATCTGCACCACTGTTCTCACTGGAAACCGAAACAATAATTTTTTCCATGGTGTCATCCACGAGCAATGTGTGTACAGAAGGGGAAACACTTCGCTTCTTTCCGAAGAAACTTCCAACACCTTTCGCGGAACAGGTTGTACCACCAAGGAGATCTTTGGCTACTTTCTTCATCCTGGCGATGTCAGAGCTACTCTTAGGCAGCGCAAAAACCTGACCACGGGTTTCCGTTGCAAGGTCCTCAAATGGCTTTACAGACGATGGGTCACCACAGCCTCTTGTTGCAAAAAAGTAGACATTTATACCCACCACTTTCGCATGGTTTTTCGCCTCTTCGATGTTGTCCAGTGTGGCATCTTTAGGTGGAGCATCAGTGAAAACGTACAGGGGAGAGTCCTCTACAGGGCCTGCTTTCAAGGCTTCAATAATTCCTTTAAAGGCCATCTCAGGGCAGTCTCCTCCACCATGCGCACGAAGTTCGTTAATTCTTGCAATAAACCTTTTTCCGTTTTCTTTTCCAGCGTCCTTTCTAAAAACCCTCCCTATTTCTGAAGATGTAAGATAAAGTATTGAAATTTCAGTCACATTCAGCAGTCTACAGTTCATTGCTAAATATTTTTCCTAAAATCCATACAATTTCTCTGTTACAGAACAGCTACCATCAGAATCCTCCAAAAGGGAAAATAGGGTATGTTTTTGTCATAGAAATAGAACGATGCCATGACGCAAATGGCCTTAATTGTGGAGAACAGCTCCTTCAAAAATTTGTCGGCCAACTGCTGGCCGACTAGTCTGCATTCTCAAGAGAGGACTGGCAGGAGTTCCACAACCAACAAGGCAGAGGATCAGGTTATTGGGGGTACAGTTTTAAGTATTACTTGCTATTACCAAAAATAGTCAAAAAGTGTGGCCAATTTACATACAAGTATCCACATATAATTAACTCACAGTTCCATACCTGGATCATTGAAAGGCGACAAGATATAATCCACTTTTAAATTTGGTCTCTCGTAGTCTACAATGTATGTAGCGATGTCCTTTGCTGCTTGAATTTCATCAGACATACTCCCTGTGTCATCAATAGCAAACATCAGCGTAGCTCTATCCAAGTTCTTTGTCCCAATAAACTTCTGAAATTTTTCTTCGCCAATCTCCTTCTCAATCATTTTCATGAACTTTTTCATTGCATCTCTGCACACGCTACAGCGCTTAAAACGAGGCTTCTTTTTCTCTATCTCCCTGGCGGTGTAAAGCGCATGCCCAAGAGACTGGCGGATGAATAATTGATTGTTGCTCTGATTGGCAGCTAATCTGATGGTCTTTTCAATCTTCTTTAGTCTGGCTGGTGATTGTACATAAAATGACCGAAGAGCCTGGCTTTCATACACTGATTTTTCCACCTCATCTATGGTTTTCAGGAAACTGTTTGACGGGGACGCATTTTTGGCAGAAGCTTTAATGAACAGAATGAAACAACAAAAAGTTAAACAAAATTAGCGGGTGAAGTAGTATCTCCCGGATGACTAGAAGGGATTATTCAAAATGGCGGCCTCCCAGCAAGGGGTAAACCGGGATGGGTTTAGGGGGAAAACCTGTTTTGGGGCGTAAAAAACTTGTTTTGGGGGTAATGAGATGCAGTGCATGCAGGTACATGAAAGAAAAGATAATGATGTCAAGGCTGGAAACAATGAGTAAACAGGGCGCTATGAAACGAACATACTTCCCAGTTTTTAACAACTCAATCCATGGTCACACAGTTTGTATATGGAGGCTTTAAATCGAACAGCAGCAAAATGTTTAAAATCTCAAAGAGACGTTTCTTCTAGGTTATTAGCAAAGCTCCTGGTGAAAAAAGGGTTTGCCAGGCGTGTACGACTTTTACCTGGATCGGATTTGCTATTTTGACGGTGCATATGATAATTTTCCTTTGAGGGATGTGTATTGCTTTGAAGGATATGAATTCTCAAGGGTATTAATTAAAAAAAAATAAGCAATCTGATAAACTATCGATTTCCCGAAACCTGTTGACACGTTTACAAACACATCCTTGTTGTCCACCATAATTGCTCGAATTGCTTGCCGCTGATGATCATTTACCTTTGAAATTTTGAATGGACGGTTTTTCTCGTAACTTCTTCTGTGGAGTGACCTAATGCTCTATTCTGGGCCCACTTCTGTTCCTTATTTACAAAAACGAATTACCAAGATGCTTGGCTCAGAATATAGGAAAGGGTATTTGCTAATAATACAAATTCATCGTTTTCTGTTACTCATATTTTGGTTCTTTACACTGAAATTAGCAAAGACCTCCATAGAATATTGACTTGGCTCTGCTAAAAAAACTGACAATAACAAACAAAAATATTTAGTTTTATATTTATGGTGATCGGTTCACGACAGAGTTACGAATTAAGAGGCAAATATTTAATCTCATGAATTCCCTCTTGGTAGAATGGAACAGCACTGAAAAGAGGGGAAACTTCTGAGAGTCTTGTCCCTAGTATTGACAAATTTCTGACTTGTAACACTTACTTTTGCAGGGTTTTAGACAAAAAGCAACCAGTGACATTGAAATTGTTAAAAGGATGAAGCCATTTGTAATGATAAAAAGTAATATAAGCACATGTAGGTTAATAGTAGGGATTGTTATTTACCGTATTTCCTCGTCAAAGCGCCCTTTCCCAAGTAAGCGCCCACGCACTAGACCATTATATCAAATAAGCGTCCCCCTCGAATAAGCGCCTTCCTCCCCTCCCCCTCACAGATCTTGAGTTAACCAAAACTCTAATTGATTAATTAATTTAATGATATAATTATTATCGTAATAGTATATATTGTATAGTTTTGTTTTTTCTGTTCATGTTTTAGATAGATAGATAGACAGACAGATAGATAGATAGATAGATAGATAGATAGATAGATAGATAGATAGATAGATAGATAGTTTATTAATAACCGGTTTGCAACTAAAAGTTGAATTATACGATTATTTACAAAAAATTGAATATTGATAACTACATTAAAAAGACTACAAGTGATTTAAAACTGAAAATAAGGACACTATATATATGTTCTAAAAATATATATAGAAGAGGTTTAAAAATCTACTAAAACCGTTCAAGCCTTGATCATGAGGGCGTTACTACGAAACCTGTTCGTCTTAAAAGCTGGCTTAAACTTTCGCACATTTCTTAGGTTAAAGGTACATGTGTTGCGAGCAGGAAAAAGTTCATGGAGCTTGTTCTGTTCGTTCTGTAAGACATTCTTAAATAGTTTATCAACTAGTTCCTGGCGGCGGTCTGAAAGTTTAGTTAGGCCTGATTCAACCAAGGCCTCATTGTATGAGCAAAGAGGAAAAATGATGCGCATAGCCCGCTTAAATTGTACTCCTTCAAGTTCATTGGAGAGGTACACGGGGAGGCCGTCATGAAAGACAGGACACGCGTACTCTGTGATCGGACGAATACAAGTGCAGAAAAACTGGACTAACTCACGGGTACCTAGACCAGAGCGTTTAAGCTGAGATAAGCTATACAAGCGCTTTTTAGCTTCCTTAATAATGGAGTCAATGTGACAATTCCGTTTCAAATCATTGGAGATGTTAAGGCCTAGTATTTTGGCACTAGTAACTAAATCAATAGGCATGCCATTAACAACAACTGGATCGAAAGAAGTAGGGTTGTTAGTGTTAAAGTTTATAAGCAGTTCTTTGCATTTCGTCTCGTTTAGTTGAAACTTATCCTCGGTCGCACGGCTTGCTAGGGTGTCAACAGCGGCTTGAATGTGACTGTCTTGGTTCTTGCTTATCGTTTCCGAAATAATAATTTGTTGTAGTAGTCAGTATAAAACCTCTATAATTGTAACTAGACCGATACCTCCCTTTGGAGAGTAAGCGCGCCCATCCTTTTAGCTGAAATTTGAAATAAGCGCTTGGGAGCTTATTCGCGTAAATATGGTATTAAAGTTCACTCTGATTGGTTGAAAATGTGTACTTTATGAGAGTTTAAAACACAGAGCTAAAAGTTTGTTATGAAAATTAGAAAGTAATTCGTGGGGAATTTGACGGATTCTTTATCATAAAACAAATAAAGAAGCCTTGAGTGTGCCCTGTTGTGTTTCAAACCACTTTGTAGAAAGCGGCTAGAGCACTCAAGAAGTAGGGAGAAACGCTCGACTACATCTCTTGTTTCGTCCTACACTTCTTTCGTGCTCAAGCCGCTTCCTACAAAGTGCTTTGCAAAAGAACAGAGCACTGTCAAGGCTTCTTTATTTGTTTTCTATAGGATAGTATAGCTAGTAAAAACGTCGGGAGTCGCAGAATAATAAGGGCATACAAAATAACTGTTTTAGTATCTTATTATGGTCAAATAAAAACTACATTCATTTCGAAACTTGCAGTTACACATCATAGTTTTCACATGTCAACAAACTACCCGTGAAATAACTAGCAGTGAGACTTGCTACGAATTTGAATGATCTCTGAAGAACACATTGAAGATAGAGCCTACCTTCATGTTCGTAGGAGTAAGTCAACATAGCAGTTCTTGTGTCGACTAAAGAGTCCACATGGTAACTCAACTGAGACGAAACCAAGCTGGTCAGTGACAAAACTGACACCAGGCAGAAGACAGATGAGTAGATCCTGAGATCTATTGGGTTTTGTTTCCCCATACTTCTTATGCACTTCGCTGCACCTGTTCTTGGGCATTGAAAAAAAAAAACAGACGTTTTTGAACTTGTTCGATTGGTGGGTGTGGCTGTGGGCACCATTCTTTATTTTCACCAATAGCCACAGGATACCCACTTTCTGAATTTGAAAATAAGCGTCTCTAAAAATTATTATCAACGCAATTCATACCTGTAACTACGTTCACTAAGTTTTTTTCACTCTGTCTGCTAAACGAAATTCCAACTTAAAGGGACAATGTCCGATTATGCGCACGCGCGAGTGTCATCTGTTTTTTCTTCAAAAGACACTAGAACTGTCATATTGACTCGACAAGATTTCCTTCCGGACCGCACCGCCGACAGAGTTTTGTTGTTTATATTCTCAAGTAATAGTTTAGACTTTGAAAGAAGTCTTTGGTCTTATATAAAAATTTGGCTCGCGGTTCGAAGACTTATCGCGATTTTATCGCTAGCTGGGCCGCCTCGCGACCCGAAAATCTCGTTCCGCTCGCTTTGAAAACATATTTTCTAATTTGAAACTCGTGTCAGAGGTCAGTTGTTCCAAGTCTAGTAATATCTGCCTGATTTGCTTGCGTTCTAGCCTCAAACGTTTGAAAGACATAAATAAAAATGCAATCTCAACGCTATGAATTATCAGAAAGGTTAGTCAAAAATTATATTATGATTTCATGGCACTTGTTTTTCTAAACATGTAGCGCCTGTTTGTTTGATTTTGTAGCCCGTTAGGGAGATTCATTTAAAAAAGTTTACTAACGCGTCTTTGCAAAACATTCTGCTTCACGAAGCTCCCCTCCACAAGACCTCCTCAGTCAGATCAATGTCTTTCTTTCTTACAGTCTTTATTGTTGCCGTTTCATTTCTGCGTATTCCTTTCACAATTATCTGAGCTGGTATGGAAGCTAGCAGAAGAAATAAGCCTTCAATCGGCATCAAAGTGCTTCCAATCTTTTGGTCCTCCGGCCAACGGTAATAAAAGTAACGCCAAAAAATCCAGATTTTGCCCAAATCGAAACTTAACAGGAACCATATATCATTGATCTGTAATCCTGAGAAGTTTTAGTGTCGTATTGAACCCGGTCAAGCACGATGCAAACGGATTTTTCAAGGTTCTCTTACTCTCCTCGCATCTTTTGATTTCGCGACATCCTGTCCAAAAATCAAAGTTTGGTGCATGCGCAGTAACGGGATACTGTTCCTTTAAGCTTGTAACACTGAAGCTGATGACTACTGCGCATGTCACAGATTTCTAGCTGGTGTCCTGTGCAAGAAAATCCTTTGGATAACTCGTTAAATGCCTAATCAATTCCTATTTGGCTCATATTTCATTTTTCCTTTCTCGTAGCAATGGTATTGCAGTTAGGAGTATCTTCAAAAAGTGCCGAAAGTCTGAGGTTGGCTTCTTCTACATGTAAGTGCTCACTTTACGTGTCAGTATTTCCCTATACTAACAGACGTAGCATATATCTTAATACGTAGTTATTTGACTTAGATTTCAACAAAGGTAGATGGGTCATTTACCAGATCTGCGCATTGTGAAGCACATATTCATTTTTTAAGTCTCGTGATTTGTTAATTACCATGCGTCTTCTGATCGAGATGTTCCGAAATGTGGAGATTACAGAGACTCCGACAAAAAGTTTTTTCTAATAATTTGAGATCTTGTCGCAAAAAGTTCCAAGTTCCTAGACTCAAGGATACTTACAACAACGAGACTTTGAGATAAGAATCGATTTGGAAATACATTTTAAAGCCAAAATCATGTTAATTTTTAGCTTTTGATAATGATGACATGAAACCTTCGAAATGTCAAGTTTCTTTGATATCGTTGATTTTGGAGACTCATCAAAACCCGTGCTGAGGTTTCGAGATTGGATGAAACGTTTCCCGAGACCCGCGAATTCTTAGGTATATTCAGATCACCGCTTATATTAGCACACCCACCAATAACGACCAAGCCTCTACGGCAATCCAAATAAATGCAACTAAGAAAGGAAAAAACTAACAAGGCCATGAAGACTTTTTAAAGGAAACGGGAAGAATCATTCAGCTCAAACACTGAGGGACGCTATTAAAGTCACCAATGAACAGGTTATGCTTCCATCGAGAAAATGGAGTATACAAACAATTGTAATCATGCTTGCATTAGCAAAAAATTGTTATCGTGTTAAAATGGACTTCAATCCCTCATCAAATATCCAGATTCAGATAAGCGATAATATCTATGGGTACAGACAGTTTGCCATTTAGTATATTAGTCTGATCTAGTTTAAAAGGCCGATTTAATAACCAATGGTAAAACAGTAAGTGGTAATAAAAGCGCTCGTTTTAAAATGTAAGCTAAGGCACTCCGCTGTTCGAGGGAGTTCCAGGCCCCGGGGGGTACTCAACAAATGTTTATACGGGGAGGCCCCGCCCTGACGTTCAACCCCTTACCCTTCTTTATATTCTTTTTTCACGAAAAAGGGACCCCCTTCGCATACCTTCTATTGAGAAATGGTACCCCTTTCACATACCTTGTTTAGAACTTTGCATCCCTTTTAACTGCTGTAAATGCACTGTCTTTTAAATAGGAATCAATCACCAAATAGAACGTTTTCTCGACTTTATAAAGCTATAAAATTCATGTGTTAGCCCTTTTGGGCCCTTTAACAGACCACCCAAATGACAGATTTCCCTACCCTTTTGTATACTTCAACTAGACTAGTGAAATGCCTAACCTTTCATAAACCTGAAGCCTGAAAAAGATACCTCTTTCGGGCGGAGCCTCTTCCCGTATAGGCCATCATAGGGAGTCCCCTTCCCCCCCCCCCCCCCGGCCCCGCCCCCCCCCCCCCAAAAATTAAAAAAAAAACAAAAAAAAAAAAAAAAAACAAAAAATTCCACTTTCACGGCGGAACCACTACACCAATTTAAACAAAACCGGGAAAACACACAACACAACCACACCCAACAACACACAACCCCTGCAGCTCGCTACTCTGCAAAAAAATTTTTTCTTTATGCCACCGGGCACCACCCCAATTTCCCCCCTTCCCCTCCCCCCGCCCCTCCCCTATGAAAAAAAAGCCCCTTTCCGGGGGCGCCCCCTCCCCGTATAGGCCCCCAAAGGGGGCCCCCCCCCCCCCCCCCCCCGGGTCACAGGCACTCCACTCATAAAGTTTAAAACAAATCCAACTGAATATAACAAAGCTGAAAGCTTCAACTTGCAGGAGGCAACCACTTAACTATTTACAAGCACGATCAAGGATTTGAAGTCGATCGGGACGATCGACCGAGAAATAAATCCAGAAAGTAGTCGGAGCGAGACTCGAACGCAGGACCGCCGGATGCAGGCGATTCCAAGTCCGACGCGCTGACCTCTCAAACACTCTCCCTCCTATTTGCACTGTAGCTAGCATTTAAATAAAAGCAAAACAATTTTCAATAGTGAAGAAGCCGTTACCTTGGATAAGGCCAGCCACTGCAGGTAACAGAGGTTGATGCTCGCACGTACAGAATGATATCCTACCGTAAGATGCAATCACATATCTACCGCTTTCAGTGGTTCAATATATCCTGCTAAAAGCCTGAAAAGAGGTTGTAAGTGAGGTTATCGCTTGGCTATTCTGGTCAAGTATGTCTTTATCAGTAATTATCGAAATGTCTGATAAAGTCTTGCAAGCCTTGATATAAATTTCTTCTTAATATAAGCATCCTCAACGCAAACACGAACCCGGCTGGGGGCCCGGTTAGCCGCCCGGTTAGCTCAGTTGGGAGAGCGCCGGTCTGCTGAGCGGGAGGCCGTAGGTTCAAACCCCGGCCGGACCAACGCTCGGGGTCTTTAAATAACTGAGGAGAAAGTGCTGCCTTTGTAATAACATCTGCAAATCGTTAGACTTTCTAGTCTTCTCGGATAAGGACGATAAACCGTAGGCCCCGTCTCACAATTGCAAGCCCTTGCACATGTAATAAATCTGTGGGACGTTAAAGAACCCACACACTCTTCGTAAAGAGTAGGGCACGTAGTGCCCGGTGTAGTGGTCTATCTCACTTTCACACTCATGTATGGGGGCATCATCAACACTCATTCCTTCAGTACTTGTAAACTGCACCTTAAGCAGTCTGGCAAAGTCCCCCAACCAGTGTTGTAAATTATCCCTGAAAAGCCCTGTGGGGAGTGGATAATAAGATATTTACAATTTACAATTTAGTTTCTCTGGGGCCCGAAAAGCTGTTTTAAGTTGCCGTGTTTACATTCAAGATCAAAGTTTCAATAATTCTGAAAATGATACGATGAAACTAACAGTTAACGAAGCAAAATTGACTGGTTTGTGAGAAAAGAACTGTGCCACCATTCTTTGCCAACTGTTTTTCTTGATTTCAAACTTTGCCTTCGGACCCGAAAAGTTATCGGGCCTTTCGAGAAACGGGCCCCAGGACCGTACGTAGCGAAAAGGAACATTACTGAAGCTATTGGTACTTAATTGAGCCTGTCAAATTGATTCGTTTTGACATCATTCGTAAGGGAATTTAAGCGCATGGCCCATTTGCACCATGGCCTCTTTTCACTAACAAGACCAGAATTCATTTCGTTTTTTCCTTCAGTCATAATTAAATTTGGTAATCCTAGTGAGATTTAAATAGCAAAAGCCCTTATCTGCTCAAGAAAGTAATATACTGAAAGATTCTGGTAGTGGTAGTGGTAGTGGTAGTGGTATTGGTGGTGGTGGTAGTGGTAGTGGTATTAGTAGAATTAGTAGTTTGTAGGAGAAGAGACAGAGACAAGACAAGACAGTCTTAGAAAATAGCCTGCGCTGCAGGCGAAAATAAACTCTAGTTAAGTGATCTTAAGTCGGTCTGCGAAACAGCGCCAACTGAAATCCTTGTTCTGGGTCCCTACCTGTATACCAAGATTTGAGTACACCTCATGATTGGGCTTTTAAAAAAGTCATTGTCGATTTGCCAAAAAAGATGAAAGGAAATTCGAAACGCACTTCCGATAATTCATTGAGTCCGTTGGGAGCCCAGAACAAGGATATCAGCGATGCTTCGCAGAAGTTACTAACCGATTCCATTAAATGAGGCGGATTCTCTCTTGTCTCTCTCTTTATGTTTCATAGAGAGAATAACGGCGAGACATCTGGCCAAACCTGCATGATTTTACTCACGACTCACGGTTTGAAATACTTGCTCTAGGTCATAGGGAGCAAGGAAAAAAATGCAGGGAGTAACCAATACAGTGTAACAGCACTCACGTTTTCAAAGAAAACAATAATAACTGTTTACAATTGTTCCAAGGTAGCAAGGTAGTTTAAGTGGTATTTGATAAGCAACACTTAACATGCCCTTATGGGCTGAAAAGTCTGATACCAAGATCTAAGAAGTGCCATTATCAAATCTTTTTAGTGTTCAGAACTGTAAAAAGACCTTAACAATTTTCGACTGGTTAGAACAAATAAGGGTTTCTTTTCCAAGACCGGCTTTTTAAATGAGCGATATTTTCTACTCTTACCATATGGATACCATTTGTACTTGAAGACAAGCTTGGTGTCTATCTCTCAGTTAAAGGAACTTACGATCGATTTTCCTCATCAAAGAGCACTGACAGTTCGAAGATGTGCGCAAGACAAAACGCACAAGAACCAAGAGAAAGCAAGAGAAACGCGCTTCATTTCTCAGTTCTGGCCAGTACCTTACCCATGGGCTGATCCAGTATTTAACTTTCGTCTGTATTAGGGTGGTTCCCTGGTTGCGCACGCCTCGGGAAACATTCAATAACTTTCCACTCCTGTAGTAGGCGATGTCAGTCTTGCTGTGAACAAAAAGGCCATAAAACGGGTGGCCGTTTTTATACTAAGGGTGCATTATCCGTCTGGACGAGCCTGGGCAAACATTTTGTAGTTCGTCTGGTTATGCATCTCTAGTATAAAGACGGGCACACATTATGTGTCGCGTCGTTCAAGGCGTCTTTCGAAGGAAAGTTCGTCCAGACGCATAATGCGTCTTGTGCCCGTCTTTATGCTTCCTTGAGACGCAAGACCAGACGAAGACGGATGCCCCCTTAGTATAAAAACGGCCATAGAAGACGGAAAATGCGTCCTCTCGTCTAAAAACGGGAAATTTGTATGCGCCGATTTACGCACAGATAAGACTTTGGGATCACCAGCGAGGAGAAGTCCCTGGCAATGAGCAAGATACTAACTAAACTGCGATGTTGTATCGTGAATTTCTTGCTATCCTTTGCCTCTTTGACTCTGGCGCTGCGGTTCTGTCCTCAAATCAAAGATCCTTTTATCTAGTGCTATGGAGACCCTTCATATTGAAGGCTATTCGTTTAAGTCTCTTTGCCAAGCTTTGTTTTGTTCTATTTCATTTTTTTGTGACCTATTATCTGGGTATACGCACATTGATCCCACAAAAAGGAAAAAATATAACGTGTGGTTCCAAAAATCATCCATTCCCCCAACGGAGGGCACTTTTGTTTTAGAGCCCCAGCAGGATGCTTGTGATACCCCCCATCCCTTGGAATTTCCAACTTGGTTGGGTAGCCCTGGAAAGAATATTTCCGTCAAAAATGCCGTTGCACTATACTTTTTTGCGAAAGATAATTGTTTCTGCGATAAAGAGAGAAAAAAAATCTTTCTATTTATGTTAATGCCTTGTAGAGGTCTTTCTCAGAAAATTATCAAATGAGAACCATGGGGGCGGTACAACCGTACACGACACAAGTGATGCCATTTCTCAAATCAGTGAACTTCAATTACTTCCTTTCAGTTAAAAACATGTTAGAAGAAGGCTTATTAGAACATGACCACATTACATTGAATACCACTTAAGAAATAGACCACAGTTTCTGTGGGTTTACCGGCGTGATAACCCACGCGGGACGTGTGGGTGATCACGCCGGAAAACCCATAGAAAGTGTGGTCTATTGATTTTAAAAAATAACTTTAAATCATGTTTCAGTTTTCTATGAGTTTACCGGCACAATAAACCATACGTTTTTAAACAATCAGAACGCTCGTACTGTCTTAGGTATTTTACAAAATATATTGAGTAACAAAGCAACAGAAAGATAACCGGAAGTTTATTCATGAGCCGACGACAATCGTGTTACAAACTACCGTGCAAGCCATAAAAAAAAGAAAGCACTCAGTCGAGCGCAAATAAAAGATCATCGATGAAAACAATAATATTTGCTTTGAAACCCCGATTAACAGTAAAATAACTGATAGCTTTCTCATCAATCTTTCCAGAGCCCCCCGAAAAAAGACTCAAGAGGCCACCCTCCACCTCCTTGGAAATTGCCTGCTTTTGGACACCCACTCCCTTCCCCTCAGAATTTCCGTTGCACTCAGTGGGGCGTATGGATATTTTCTGGAACTACACAAAAAAGATGACCATGAAACCAAGACCAAAACCAAAACGGCCACGCATTATATGCAATACTTTTACTTTTGACATCAGAATAAAGCCGTGCTCAGACAGAAGAAAGTCACTTTATACAAAACGCAACAAAACTAGGCCCGCCTACGACTGTTCTGTGAAAGAACCAGATAATCGAGTTATAATAATAAAGTCCATTTAAGTTTAATGATCCAATTAGATTGCGTTTAACAGCTATTGAGTGTATTGGAGATGATCACTTTCTCGTTTTCAGAGGACTGGTTCTTCCCAAGCAACCAATCGAACATCACAAAGAAACACTGAACAATTTACTATTTACGTAACAACCTAGCTCAGAGAAAAAACTCTTTTTTCTTCCCCTGCCTGACAGAAATAAGGAAAGCGAAATACCACCCCAGAGTTTCGCACGAGGCTGGGGGTGTGGGAGGGGAAAAGATACATTAGGAGATGTTAGACTCTTACGAAACGCTAACTGTAAATCACACAGAAAACAGAACCTGACAGAAAGTTTAACTGAAAGTCCCACAAAATGATGAAAAATCTTCCCTGAAAGGGATACGAACTCCACGTACATGTATCGGCGTTTACACTGAAGCCAAAAGCCCCGCCTTGCGTTAATCTTTTTCAGTTTTCGCGTCCTACCTCTGCCACTCTTGGGGATGAGGGTATTAAAGAACTAAAGAATTTTACATAGAAATTAAAGAAACGTATGTACCATACGAGAAATTCATGATAACCCTCGAGTTTGAGCAAGACGACGATTGCGTTATAAATTTCACAGTATTATTTCCAATGCAAGTCTTGGATGTCCAGGAGAATCATAGAGAGAAAACTTCATGTTAGAAAATTAGAAATAGGGGCGCTTTGAAGGCCCCGGAAATGGAACAGGTGGAGGCCCGGGTCTTTTCAAAGGTCCTGGATAGCGCACCCAGTCACCTTCAAAGTCTCCCATAGAGTGCCGCCTTCTTTCGGGTGGACCATAACCGCGAAACCTATCAAAGTCATGAGGGCCTTCTCTAAATCTTTCACGAGTTCTACTAGGAAAATCAAACTGACGAGGTATGTTTTCTGGGGTATCAAATGAAGTCCACATAGAAGGATCGTCTTCCCGAAAATCTCCTCCATTTGGATCACCGCGATGTAAAACAGGTGGACCCCTCCATTCAGAAGAAGGGTGCCCTGGATGATCATGAGGAAAGTCCCATGGGCCCCTCGGATGATCTCTATACCGCTCTCTTCGATATTCTTCCCAGGGCTCAAACTCTCTTCGCCGCTCAGGGTCCTCCATGGCCCCAGGAAAAGATGCACGGTGAGGCGGCGGGCCATCACTTCTGGGCATTTTCTCATGGGGTGGTTGCCTATGAAGACCTCTAGCTGCATTTTCGGCTGAAAGCCTCCTCATCCCTGGGGGTCCATCCATGTGACTGCCCTGGTCTTTACCGCTTGGATGGCTCTCATCTGCTGGTACTTCTGATGGCTTGTTCCCACCAGAATGCGGAGGAGCGGAGTCTGCGACCGATCTGTGATGCACATTTTCTGGAGGTCTCTGTTGAGTATGAGGTGACTGGTTTGGGGGTACTCTGTCCGAAATATCTGCTGATGGACCCCTTGGTGGACCATGGGGTGGTGTGTGTTCCGGTACTTCTGCGGGCGGCGCCCTTGGAGAAAGACGGTGAGGTGGTTGATCAGTAGTTCCTTTACCGGGCATGTCAGGTGGCCCTTCAGGTCGTCTTTCAAATGGAGGACCCCTTGGAATATGGCCATGTGGAGGACGGTGTAAGGGGATTTGTTCAGGCGCATCTGGTGGTCTTCTAGGAGAATGGCCACGTAGAGTTTGATCAGTGGGCACACGACCGGGTGGCTCTTCAGCACGTCTTTCAAATGACGGACCTCTGGGTGAATGAACACGAGGTGGTCCTGGCATATCTGTTGGCCCTTCAGTAAATGGTAGCCCTGTAATTCCTCTGGACTGGTCAAACGGAGGACCACGGGGCCCTTGGAAAGGGCCACCATGTCCAAATGGGGGTGGGCCGTGGGGTGACAGGTCCAGTGGTCGACCAAAAGGCCTTTCTTGTGGGATAGCTCCTCTGACAGAAGGATTTTGTAAGTTTAGTCCCGGTTGAGTAAGATGGTTTGTTGATGCAGGCATCGCGCCAGTAGTGTTGGCAAGCGGTCGGATACCATGCAGCTCCAACTGTCGCAAATCATGACCATGACCAGAAAGTGCAACACCAGGGCGCACATCGAAAGGCATTCCCATTTGCACTTCTTCTGACAAGTTGGAGGGCGTAGGTCCTTCCTGGTTTGTCTCAAATTCGGGCTGGTCTTGGTCTTTCCTGGGTCCTTTTTTGAGAATGCTTTTTAGTCCTGTCTGCAAGGATGAAGACGGTTCCCGTACAATGCCTTTAGGATGGGGCATTAATTGGCCTTCTACGGGCAAGGGACGAGCAGGTAAAGTGGTGGGAGCGCTATCACCTGGCATGCTTGGAGGGTGATCTTGTGTCGCGGGGGGATTCACAGACTGTTCCTTTTCTTTAAGAGTTTTTATAGAGTCACTGAGTTTGGGAAATAAAGAGTCAATTAAAGACAAAAGCGGTTTAGCCTGTGGATTTCCGGAGTCATCACTGGTGGTGGCAGAGGCAGCAACTATGGGGGTAACAGGTACAGACGCAGGGGGATTTTCTGGGTCAGCTGATTCCTTTAACTTTCTTCCTCTACTGAGCAGCTGTGCCAAGATGTCAACAGCACTCACGTTTTGTCCACTGTCTTTCTTCACTAACGTCGCATCCTGTTGCTGTGCTCCAAACTGGCCAGAATTAGATGGTGTGCTACTGAAAGATAAGGAAGCCTCGGAAATAGCTTGAGCCGTAGGGGGAGTCCCAGTGATACCAAGTCCCAAACTAGATGTCGGGTTCTTTACCTGAGTTTCTAAAAATGACTTGTTAGTGTCGAAACCAGTGTTGTCTTTAACATCTACATCACCGAGGGGAGCTGGAGTTGTCTCTGGTGTCTCATCACCTTCCTCTAAGTGCAGCTCTGGTGATCCTACTGGTGATGGAGCAGACGCCTCTGAATCAGGTGATCCTATACTAGCAACATTCTTTGCTGGTCCACCACTAACTTGACTTGTCTCACCGACTGGGACTAAGTTAGGTGTCATCTGAACAGGTGCTGGTACAGTTGTTGCTGCAACTGGCAATGGTGCTTGGCTCTGTACAAAGCCAGTACCCAGTGCAAACGTTTGCATTGCCCCAATGCCACGTGGTATTGGTGTATTAGTAGCAGGCAGTAGACCGGCTGGTTGAGGTATTTGTGAAAAGGGTTGTCCCTGACTCGAGAGTTGCCTAGGCGCAGCTAACCTCCCTGATGGCTGCAACAATGGATTCTGAGGTATACCAGGAAGAGGTTGTACCGGAGGAACTCCAGGTCTAAACTGAGGTGCAGGACCATGAAAACGGGGACCCTGTACACCCACAAATGGACGAATTACCATTCCAACTGCAGGCTGAGGCGCAGCAACCACTGGCCCCTGATTTGCTAATAACGAGGTAGGCAATGGCATCACGGAAACCATACTCGGGGTAAGTGGTTGGGCAGGAGCCACACTGGCAGCAGGAGAAATTACTGGAGTAGTTTCAGATTCTTTTGGAGTAGTCTGTGCTGTTTGTGAATCCGAGCTTTCGGTAGAGTTGGGAGTTTGATCGTTACTACTTTTGGGATCTTCCACTGTTGCTTCCTCACTTGTGTCTGATTTCTCACTGTCAGAATCCACATCCATGTCGGCGACTTCAATGTTGTCTACTGTGGGATCGATGAGTTTTTCTTCATCGGGAGATTTAACTGTTTCTTGTTGTGTTTGTGAAGGGGTAGATGATGCTGATCCTACTTCAACATCAGGAAGACCTGAACTCAAAAAAGAAGCTTGTGGTGCTGTCACAGGACCTGTTTTGGCTTTCTCTGCTGCTTTTTCAGCAAGCCTGTTAACCTTGGCATCAACTTTCTTTTTCAGTGAAGTAAGGCGATTGCCAAACGTCTTGTAAGCCTAAAGATGGAGTTTACAAAAGGGACTGTCAAATAATGTCTATTCAGGGTATCATATACCTAAATGCAACAGAGCTTTTCTACTAACATGGCTTGCAGCTACAAGTATGCAAATTTATTGGAACAAAAGAAAGTTAGGTGTTTACATAAGAAAAAGGTTAAACTCCTACAGGACCGGTTTAAAACACTAACAAGGCCACCATCTCATTGTTTTGGAACACTAATAAGCTTTCCACTGAAAGACAAGTTTCCTTGGCTTGGAGAATGGTTATCAAGTAAGAAACATGGTAGAAAAACTATTCTTACAGTAGTTTGTACCAAATGACTTCAATAAGAAATAAATCCTTCATGAAACAGTCTTCATCGGAAAACCCTCAACAAAAGACAATACTAAAATTATTGTCCCTTATACTGACAACAAGCAATGACGACAAAAATGGTTTGTCAATCTCTAATATTTCAAACATTATATGCACCCTAATATAAATGTAATGTAGATGTACGTGACAATAGCATGGCATGGAAACCAATATTAAAGATCTAAGGATTGACTAACAATGTTACTCACACTGAAACTCACAATAATACACAAAACATATGTCTCTGAAACTATGATTCAAACTCACAAGTACAAAGAACTTAAAACCGCCAGTTTTTCAAATAAATGGAGTCTGCAAATGGTGTAAATCTTCTTCAATTTTTTCAAAGCAACAAAACTAATATATTATTTTTCACTCAGTTTGGGGGTCACCTCCTGTTTGTAAGGGTCATGTAGCAGCTGCTCTGAAAAGAAGTCACCAATGGTGCCTAACCCTGACCCCAAACAATACTGAAACAATTGAAAGAATGACATGTCATTGTTTTCTGTGACCAATCAGGAGAGACCTTCCCAGCAGCTCCTACACAACTGATTTGTAATGCTTGAATATGGCGAAATTGCTTGACATATATGTACACGTAGCTCCCTAAAAAAACGAGCCACCAATGTGCCCCCATATAACAGTAGCTTAACCACACAGAGGCTACATGTATACCTGATTATCATAATAATACCCCATTCCACTTACATGCACTATCACTTTTACTTCTCCGTACGAAGTATCATAGAAAGCTTCCCCATCCTCTAATGCTTTAATTACATCAAGTCTCTCTTGTTGCTCTCGTCGCAGTATTTCTGAAAACTCCTCAAGTTTGGCAGTGGCCAGTTCATATTCTTCACAAAATTTTCCACCACCAGTGCGATCTAGGACAAAACAAGGCAACCTTACATTACATCTGTACCTGTGCTTGTTAAATAAAATAACAATAATACATTTGTTTTAATATTAATTAGTACCATAGTGACAACAACAACAACAACAATGTATTTATTTAAAGACATATAAAGTTACAATACTTTATGTCCTGCAAATAGCTATAATGCTAATCTAGGCAGGACAAGACTTTGAATAGAGACGTTATTGAATTACATAAGAAAATAGAAAAGAAAAGAAATACAATAGCATACAGAAAGAAACACCTTACATAAAAATTCAAGTACAGGGGACTTTGTTATTTAAAAAAGACTAAAATTACAACTGGAGGTATATACAACATATCAGGTTAACTTCATAAAATATTCTATTAAATAATTTAATAATTATCTTCATTACCTAGAACATTAAGGGGTAGTGATTTAATTTTTTTACGAAAATTAAATAAGTTGAGAGTCTTAACAGAAGGTAGTAAAAAATTTTTTCATTTTTTCAGCTCTAGAGAATTTGACAGAGAAACATTCTTTTGTAGATAATCGCGTATTATAATGGTGTTTTGTATTGATTTTCACAAACTTATCGAGAAGACTTTTAGGAGCTGTCTTAGCATGAACGTCATACATTAAATAGTTTAACTGTTGAAAGAACAAAGACTGCAAAGGAAGGCAGTTTGATTCAATAAAAAAAGGGATTGCATGGTCTCTGGGTTTAGAAAAATAAATTAAATGCAGTGCACGTTTTTGCAGAACAAGTATCTTATTGAGGTAGGTCTGTGGACAGTTGCCCCATGCACAGATACCATAATCTAAAAACAGTTCATTATAAAATAATAAAAATGCAATAGGGCTATCTACAGTACAGCTCAGAGATAAGCGACCAACGGACACGAAAAACACACGCCCGTTTTTTGCGTTAATGCAAAATCGTTAACTAGTTTGAAAGCACGTTTTTGAAACTAGCTTTCGCTTTTGTTATTCACTGTTTAATCACTGTTTAAACCTTATCACTGGTTGTTTTTAACAACGCTTAAACATTGGATTGGCTTCAGTCGCTTAAAATAAGATAAACCGGTAGAATGTGTTTTTATCTGTAACTAATTATAGGACTTTATACATTGTAATTCGCCGTGCAGCTAGCCGTTTCATATGTAAACATTGAATACAATCATCATCATCATTTATTTCAATTATCTACAACATATGATCTACTTTTTTAAGGGCGTGAGAGAATGAAATACAGCTGTATATTAATTGTACTCATGATGGGTTTCTCAATAGAAGCCAGGCTGAACAGGCTAGGGGTAGAGTATAATAAGTTTTTTAAAATGTGCAATGGCTCAGGAGGAAATGACAACTTGAACGCATGGAATTTATCACCTGCAAGGACCTTTAATCGTACTGTAGTAAAATACAAACTGAAAAGTTGGGAGGGCTTTGAATTCAGCCTCACAGGTTGAATGACTGATATAATGGAATATGATGGAATGCTGATCAGCACAAGCATTTTTATATAAAGACTACTTAATGAACATAAAGTTTTATACAAAATGGTCATCATAATTTGCAATTCAATGAAAAGTAAAAATTGCATCAAAAATTCCACAAAAGCCAAAAATGATGACCTGTCAAAACCGCTTCTAAAATGAAATACAAAATTTTTTAACAAAGAAACATCATAAACAATCCATTTCAAGATGTGACAATAACATTAATACATCAATGCCCATTATGTTACATTACAGTTAAATTTATTGCATTCTCAAGCAATTTCTTTTTGTCATAAAACTGGTATTTTAAATGAGGACAAACCTTTCAACTGACGCACACTTTCCAAATCAGATGCATCAATCCTCAAGGAATTCAACTGAGATTCCTTAAGTATTAGTTCACCCTCAAAGTTTCTTAAAGCTTTCAGGGCATCTATCAGTTTAGACGGCTAAAACAAAAATAACACAAACGGTAAAATCTTACAACATGTTGATATATGGGACATAAGGAGACAGAGTTGGGAGGAGATAATGTCATTTTTTTGAAAAAAAAAATGTGGGACAAACAGATATTTAACTTGCTACATTGAATTTTTACTCAATTTGTCACTATCTCTTACGTAAAGGCAGGTTATGCACAAAGCAGGTTTCAGCTGTACTGTTCAAGAATAAACCTTAGATTAAACAATACTTGTTTTAAATGAACAAAAGACCACTCAGGAGATGAGAAACAGGAAAAGAAGAAGTGATTTTTGCAACTAAAAGGTGACAGACAAACATTGTCTATGTTATTCCAAATTTAGAAGCTCTCTGCTATCACGGTGGGCACATGGGGTGCAAAGAGGTGCATCCTAGGAACTACTTGTGCATTTTTTATTCGTTTGAGCGCAAACTTTGCGGGATGGTAGAACTTTGTATTCTTAAAAATCCTGCGTTTTTTTGTTTTACAATTTTAACGGTTTTTGGTGGCAAAATGATGTCACAAGATTGTGAGCAAAATTGAAATTTCAAGATATGGCGAAACAAATAATTTTTAAAAAAGCACAACAAGATAGAATAGAATGTGAAAAAATTTTTTGAAGAGCTCGATTGATTAAAGAGTTATTAAGCTTTGATTTTTGAATTTTGCGTCATTTTGTTTCTATTTTTAGAAACATAAGTACAATTCAAGATGTTATATCTCCTAAAGCAATTGAGCTTTTCCAAAATTTTTTTTCACATTTCCTTCTCTCACGTCACGCTCTTTCAAGATTATTTATTTCTTTTGCCATAACTTGAAATTTAAATTTTGTTGTCAATCTTGTGTCAATCTTGTGAAATTGAAAAACATAGGATTTTTTGGAATACAAAGTTCCACCATCCTGCAAAGTTTGGGCTCAAACAAATAAAAAATGCAAAAGTAGTTCGAAGCATACACTTTTTTTGTCCTATATGCCCACCGTGTATGAGCAAACTACCAAAGAAATGCTAGACTTCATATCAAAGGAACAGGTCACATAACCACCATCTTGGAAGAAGTATTTCTATTTACCTTCTAACAGGCTTATTCTTTGAAGATATGAATTATTTCAGATTCAGAAAACAGAAAAAACTGAAGATGAATAAGCGGAAAAAGTTCTATGTGGCTATTTTTCCTTCCTTTTGTCTCAAGTTTCTTTTTTTACCAAAATGTAGTAAGATTTAGGGTGTATTATAGATGGGCAGTGATTTTGTTACCTCTGTATCCTGTCGCATAAAAATCCCCACAGAAGCAAAATAATTTGTGGTATGTATCCCGTAGGACACAAAGATCAATTCATCGATCTAAAGATGTTTTTTTGGAGAATATCCTGTTTGTGTGATTTCTGTCGCTGTTCTTGTGGCTGTTGTTAAACAACACCTATTTAAGTCTTTGTTGTGCTTTACAATAGAAGGAGTATATTTTTCTTTCAGTAAACTGTAACACAGAGTTTTGGAGTCTGTCTTCAGACTGTGTGGTTGTTTTTTGGACTGGGACTCATGATTTTTCACAAGATGAGTCCCAGGATTCATCACAACTATTTGTAACAAAATCACTGGATGGGTGCATATTATCCAAGGGTAAACATGGTACCTTGAAGTCTGCTGGAGGCAATCTCTTCTGTTTAGTTTGTGGTTTGATTTCCTTCTCTTTCTCTTTTTCTTTCTCCACTGGTTTTTCTTTCGCCCTTTTGCTAACAACAGGCACATTAGCTGACTCTGGTAAGAGAGATAAAAAATATTTATAGGTTTTCAACATTACTCTGAAATATCAAGATATTTCAGGAAGAACAACAGACATTGAACAGAATGTTCATGTACATTATAGTTCCACTCAAACGTGACATACCACCCTCTTGCGAGATGCACTATGTAATAATTTTTCACATGCTACATGTAAAGAAAGCACGTTGGAAACTCCAACATGTGGCAAAACGTGCCATCTCTTCTCCTTAAGGAAAACAACTAAATGTAATTTTGGCGAGGTGAAATATAAGACAATGCAGGTCACCATCACTAATCATATCTGGGACAGTCTTTGGGCATTTGCAGGACTCCAGTAATTTTACAGCGTTTTCACTGACGTCAATCATTTTGCTCACATTGCCCTCTGATGCAGTCACTTAAGCTGTTTATGCTCCCAGACCTCCCTTCCCTCAGGATGTCCTTTGCTTAGTACATGTATCTGCAAAACTCTCCACTGAGTTTCTCAGTGTGATAGTTCCTGGTGGTTAAGCCTCACAGTGTTGTTATGGTTACCTTCTGTGCTCACTTATGGCTCCCCTAGTTTGACCAAGCACCTTCCCCACACCCATCTACTGGTGATGGGTTTAACTTAATGTTGAGTGGTAGTGAATGACATTGTTATTATATTTTGAAAGGTTAGAAAGATTCACTTAAAATTGTATCTTTCTCAAAATATTTCATTGCAGAGTGAGTGTCATAACAATGAACAGGTGAAAGTTTCTGTACACTCAACTCTCGCCTTGCGGACCGTACCCCGCTATAACGGACACCCCGATAATACAGACAGCAACTAAATCCCTGGCAAAAATAAATTGCAGATGTTTGACTGAAATTAACTCCCGCTATTATGGCCTCTCACTAATAAGGACACTAACTTGAGGTCACTACAGTGTACGCTATAAAGGGAGTTGACTGTACTGATAATGATGCAATACGATCTTTTTCATGTTTATTTCAGTGTTTTAGAGGAGACTAGACTACCATCATCAATGGAATAACATTACCCATGAAATCAAAATTGGCACAGATTTCGATTACAGTAGCTGGTACAATGAGTAACGCAACAAATTGAATTTTACATGGGTGATCTGTACAGCTGGAGCCTAATGACAAAAAGCAACCAAGACTACTATTTCTTACTACATATGGGGGAGGGGGTCAGCTGACCAGCATTAAGTCAACTGTACACAATCAATCAAACACCTGGTGTAAGAGAAACAAAGTGGAACAAAAATTATAGAGAGCAACGTTGCATGCAGTAGATGTTTACTTATGCAGTAAACTGCCAACAATTATGTTCTTAAAATAGACAATTAAAGAACTAATTAGCACACCAAAAGGTATTTACAAAATAAGATCATACCAAGTTTGGTTTTTAAGGCCTCGAGGTAATCCTTTTCAAACAACCTTCTCTCTTCCCAGATTTTAATGACCCGCTGGACGTTAGCCTTGATAGTTTTGTCACTGAAATTAAGTTGAAAGTATAAATGAGATACTGGGTGATCTGTGAACATGTTTAGGCGGATACATATCTCACACAGGACAGGAAACTCGGACAAACCTCAAAAGGTGCATAGAATCGCGAAGTATCTTGGTGTAAGCGTTGGAGAATTCCTTTCCTTTCTTGCGGCTATTTTGAAGAACATCGTTCGCTAAATAAAATAACATCAGCCGTCTGTCTGCCTTTGAAGCTGAAACAAAAATAGAATTCGACTGTTACATTTTTCAATGACCACCGGCTGAACGTGCCGGGAAACGAAACTTCATTTTATCGCAGCCTCGACGGGTCTGCTGGAAGAACAAAATTATCAAAGCGCTACCTTTCTTCAGCTGCTCCAGCCACACAGCCACCATGTCTTCTGCATGCTTTTTATGGTGAATCATCCAAAGCGAGACTGTTTGAATACTGTCTTGCGTGGACGACATATTCTGCAGCTTGCGTTCAAACGCTTTTTGATTGAGGTGCGCCATGTTGGCCTCCTCGCCATACGCTTAGCTACTTCGCATGCGCACTAACGGAAAGCCACTGACAAATTGTCTGACAAATTGACACCACAGGTGGTCAAATTTCGTTCGATAGGTACTTCATGTAACTAACCTTGTATCCAGATCTCCCACCCCCAAGGGAACTGCATCACAGAGCGCAGAGCCTTCTTCTTCTACTTCAATTCTTCTTTTTTTGGTCCTAGGGAGTGGACACAAAGCCCAGAGCTGTGAGGAAAGTAGAGGACACAAAAAGCAAACTGCGGTGTAAAAAATAACGAAATATAAACGCGCGCGTTTCTGGAAAGAAAAAAAACTTTAACTTCCCTGCTAGCAGAGGTCTCTCACAACGAAGCATTCTCTTTTTTGCCTCGTCGTGAGAGACCTCTGCTAGCAGGGAAAACTTTAACTTGACGTTTCATGCATTCCGACATACCAGGAGCCGATTACTTATCGGCTCCTGGACATACATCATCAGGAGTAGTGTCGGAACATACGAAACGTCAAGTCTTTCCAGAAGTGCGTTTATATTTCCTTACGTTTATCACCGCAGTTTGCTTTTTGTTTTTTCTTAAAGCTAAGATGGCCAAAAAGAGAAGAGTATCTACGAAGGTAGAGAACCCTCACGTGTAAGAAAAAACTTGTAACTTTTACATATTAAATAATGCACTCTTATTGGGGTGAACCTTGTTGTTCGGTGTGTGAAGAGAGGTGAGACACGAAAACCCCACTCCTTCATCCCACTTTTTGGTACATTTCTTTGCAGTCCTGTGCACATCACGGTGAACGGCCATCCTGCCTCCTCCACAGGCTTCCCACGACTCAGTGGGGAGCACTAAGCGAGGAAAGCGAGATAAAGCGAGAAATTACACGCGAGAGCTGGAGACAAGCGAGAAGCGCGAGAGGGGAATGATGGGAACGAGCGCAGAGCGACTATCGCGCAGAGTGCAAAAAAAGTGATCGCTCAAGACTTGGGACGAGGCAGAACTGCCCACGCAACCTCGTCCCCAGGACTCACCCATTTTTTAGGGAAAAGCCCTGGGGACGAGGTTGCCAGCCCACGCAGACGTCTAAGGGCTTCCTCCCCTCACGCGTTCCTTTCCCTCGTCAACAAACCCACCTCATGCAAGGATATCCAAGAAAATCTTGAATTCTGGATTCCAAGCTGATTCCAGTTACTGGATTGCGGATTCTAATCATCGTTAGTGGCGCTCCGGATTCCGGAATCTTGGTTACCTTACATGGGATCTTACATGATGGGGTGACAAAGAAAGTCTTCCCCAAATAGGCCTTCGTGCATTATGCTCGTAGTTTTTTTTTACCATTTTATTGAAACAAAAGCCTTAAGCACCGTTTATTTTTTTCACCTATTTACCGATTAACAGAGAGTTACAGACTGCTTTAAGTTAAAATAAAAAATAAAAACAATGAATACAACAACATAAAATTACTAATCAATATGTAAGATTACACAGGGATTGCCTAAATGTACGTAATAGCGAAGTAGATGCTATAATTTCTGGTGGAAGATTGTTCCACCATGCAGGGGTAAGAGTTCTTATAATAATCACATGTACAACGTAGTTGTTAAAATCGATGACTGAGAGACGAGAGCATGGTGTCCGAATTCTGCGCTGAAACTTGTCGTATTCGTAAGTGGCTAACCCATTACTCTGTTTGTACAGCATACAGAGACGTGCGTCAGATCGCCTGAGCTCTAGAGATCTCCATTTAAGAGAAGATGACATGTCAGTGACATAGGGCCATTTATACGAGGAAAAATAAGACGCGTCTTAAATAAGACGCGAACTGTACCATTTATACGAGCATGTCTTATCTAAGACGAGAACAGCTGGTATAAATGGTTCGCGTCTTATTTCTGTTCTTGACTCGTTTTCATGTGAATGTTGCCCGTAGCAACGGCAACCAACGTGGCGCGCCAAAAATTAACGCATGCGCACTATGCGTTCGCGTCTTATGTAAGACGCGAAGGTCTTTTATACGAAGTTTTTCTCGTCTTAGCTAAGACGCCTCTTATCTAGGAACAGGTGTTAAGGGCTGTTCTAAAATAAGACACGTCTTAGCTAAGCCGCGTCTTATTTTAGACGAAAAGTGCCATTTATACGGAAAGTTCGCGTCTTATTTACGCGTCCTATGTAAGACGCGTCTTATTTTACCTCGTATAATAAATGGCCCTATTGTCCAATCTGTCGTATTGCCCGAGTACCCAGCGAGCTGCCCAGCCTTGAATCATTTCCACCTGTTGTATGTTCTTAGCTACGTAAGGAGAGCATTTTAGTGGCATTTTTCGTGGAAAAAAATACTTTTTTTCAGAGATATAAAAAATACGAGTAATTTTTTTTCCGGAGTATCTTTTAGAGAAAACGAAGACAAACTCATAATTCAAAGTGGGGAGACTGGGGAAAAGTCCAGTATCTAAGCAATAGACCACACTTTCTATGGGTTTACCGGCGTGATAACCCACGCGGGATGTTGGGAGAACACAAGAAAAGCTTGTAAATCACGAGCCGAAGGCGCGTGATTGACAAGCTTTTCTCGTGTTCCCAAGTGGGTTATCACGCCGGTAAACCCATAGAAAGAGTGGTCCATTGTATAAAATAACTTTAAGTAAAACGGAGTTTTCTATGAGTTTATCGGCACAATAAACCATAGGTTTTTAACCAATCAGAACGCGTGCAGTATCTTAGTTATCTTATAAAAGATGATGAACAGATTAAGTGGTGATTTAGAGGATTTATTTTTGCTGTTTAAAATGTCATAAACTTGATTAAGTTGTTGTGGTACTACGTCAATACCATTTCGGTAGCGATAGCACCCTGTTAAAACGTTACAATTTATTAAAAATGCCTCTGTATGATGAGCATCATCGGAGCAATTTAGTGACTTTATTGAGGGTGACCGAGTATTTTAGTGGGAATATATGGAGCATTAAAGTGGAGCATTTTAGTGGGGAAACAAAAGCATAATGTACAAAGGCCTATCGGGGCCTATCCCTCGCGCTTGCGTGACCTTTGGCGAATTATCACGAGGTTCCGTGTGCACGTGTGTTCAACGGTCACGAGACTTGGTCGAGACTACCACATTACGGTACATTTTATTCACAAAATTAGCGGAAACTTCTTTAAGGGTACAGTCTTCGAATGCGAAGAAATATCTCACGAGAGCTGACTGGAAAAGTGGCATTGTTGTTATTGGCTGTCCGCACTGCTACTCAAAGATATTATAGGAGCATCGTAGAAACATCGAAACGAGGCCATCGAACTGAAAACAAAGATGGCGGACGAAAGCAACTCTCAAATGTTGAATTCTCAAAATGAGAAAAAAATATTTGACCCTACCGAGTATCAACACACAAGGTACAATCCGCTACGCGGTGACTGGATTCTTGTTTCTCCTCATCGAATGAAAAGACCTTGGAAAGGACAGGTTGAAAGACCGCAGGAAGATGAAATTCCGCGCTGGGACGCAAAAAACCCCTTATGTCCGAGAACAGTGCGCGCAAGTGGAAAGGCAAGTCTACGGATTAATACTATTTAGCTAATACAATATACATGTGTAGAATGGGACTTACTTTCACCTTGTGTTAAAGAGTAACGTGTTCTTGGTGATTTTTCTCAGAAAGCCCACTGGGCATGTGCTATTACATTTAGTACCCCCCCCCCCCCCCCCCCCCAGGTTTGAACGAGTCTTTGTTTCTGTTTTTTTTCACTCCCCCCCCCCCTGGGGCATGTTTTTTCTGATTTTCCCCCCCCCCCCCCCCCCCGCTGGTTGAGGTACATACCTTTTGGATGAAATAAAATTGCGTTCACTCCTGAATATGGTTTACCCCTGAAGAAAATGGGTCTACACCTGAAGAATTTCATGAAAATTAAAGCTCTGGATACCCCAGACAAAATACTCAATTTTTATGGCTTATCCATTGGTCCGGAGTGGGGGGGGGGGGACGGATGTCAAATGTGATAGCTGCATATTGCATAAATATAACTCAGATTTTTGAATCTTGCTGGTTTGCACGTGACTTCACTGTGGCCAGATCCCTTGGTGAACAACAAAAGCATTTCTCTCTGCTGGGAACAAGCTAGTCTGCTACACAGCCATTTTTAGTGTCGTCATGCAACAATCCTCCCCACAAACGTCTGCTGAGAACTGAAAAACATTCCTTTCCCTCTGTGTTTGTGATCTGACGAAGAAACCAATCATGTATGAGAAACTTGACAATATGTGACCTGCAGGGCGCTAGGATGCCAACACTCTCAATTATCGATGAGCGATTTCCCAAAACTATACATGGAAACGTTGTAAGCACATCCATGTCATGCATCACATTTGCTCAACTTGCTTGCTGCTGCTGCTTATCTCATAAATTTTGAATAGGACTATGAGAAAATGGGAGCTGAATTCTTACTGGTTAACTCCGGGAAAGGAATGTGGTTCGATTTTCAGCAGCCGTTTGTGGGGAGAAACATTGCGTGATGACACTAAAAACTGCTGTTTTGCAGACTAGGAACAAGCCTGCAAATGCAGCTGTCTCTCCTCACTCCAACCCACTAGGGACATTTGTAAGAGAGATGGCAGTGCCTTAATGACAGAAATGCCATAGTAATAACATGTATATTCTCCGTAGTGTTTGCAATAATGTCATCAAACGACAAACGTGGTCCCAGGGGTGGATCCAGGAAATTCAGAAATGGGCAGCTCAGACACTTGCCAGCTACATAATTACCATATATTTTACTGAGAATTATTAAAAAACGATACAAAAATTTCACAGACAGAGGGGTGGCTGTGGTCTACTCAGCCAACCCCTTAATCCCCCCATGGGTCCATCTCATTTGGTAGATGTCTGTCAGCAATGTGCTATGAAAGTGTTCCTCAGTTTGGCTCTTTACCATATAAACCTTGTTTTTTTTTTTTTTTTTTCCTGAAGTCTTACCTTTGGAATGATGTTACACCAAGACAACCCACAATAACTTGTGTGCTTTCTTTGCCAATGGCTCAAAAACTAATTTCAACTTTGTACTTTGGCCATTAGCCCAACTGAGCTTGCAGGCAAACTTGCAATCCACATTTAAAGATTAAACAGGGCAATGAAACAAAGTAGAAAAGAAGAAAGAAGTGGGGGTTTTAATGAAAGGATATTTGCAGCTTGTCATCTATTCAGTTCCTAGTCCTGCCCATCAAAGCTTAACTTGGTTGGTGATCTTAAAACTGAGTTTTGTGAGGGCTTGGAAGACACATATTCACAGTCTGTGATTAATCATGGGGGTACTTCCTAACATGTAAATATTATTCTATTCCCTGGCTTATTCTTCACAACCTGCTAGCACTGACAAAATTTCAAAGAGGTTTGCAAAGTATCCATGACTGATAAATGTCACTCAGGACTGTACATGGTGCACCAACTTAACTGTTTTGGAAGTACAAATTTGTAATTGTATGCAATCTCATTTTAAATGTTTTCAACTAAAATATTTATTGCTTTTTAATTTATTGAAGGAGAACCCAGACTATGAAAGCACTTATGTATTTGAGAATGACTTTCCTGCCTTACTTCAAGAGGAGGCCCCATCGCCAGGTATGTTATTTCTGTTTTAGTTAACAAGTCTGCCCTCAAAGTCTTGATCAAAACCAGGATAAGTTGATAAAGAAACCAAAATTGTTTGTAGGCATTAACCCTTGTTTATTGTCAGGTGCATCTACTCATCCATTACTCAAGTGTGAGCCAGCTCAAGGAACTTGGTAAGATTACATTTGAATCAAATTTATATTATTATTATTATTATTATTATTAAATTATTATCATTATTATTATCATTGTTATTATTATTATTATTATTACTAAGAATTATTATAAGCTATATTATGTTAACAGCCTTCACTGATTACACATCTCTTAAGCAGGGATGTGGCCAGCCTATATACCCAATCAGCCTAGTCTACAATAAGTGTAACTTAACTTTGGTAATTTGACTAAGTTTGTAGACTAATGTTCCTAAAGTCCCCAGTTATTCATGGTCAGCAATAGTAAGGGCTAGGAGACAAAGGAAATTGAGAATCAACCTAGGTGAAACAATTTTCACCTAAATGTCATTTTGAGCTACAGTGTGTAACGTAAATGAGAAAGAAGCAGCAACATAAATTTTGTTAACCCATTCGCCCCTGAACCGCCTGTAACCGCCCAAGCGGATCCACGTCCTTTCTACCCTTTGTGACGTCATCAGTTTTAACGGTCAAGGACAACTTTGTCCACTAACTTGTGCAGAGTGAAGAGATCTTTCAAACCATACCAGAATGAGCACAATTCAGTCAAGGACACCGGAGAAAGAAGCAAAAAACCATGTGACATTGACCTGAAAGTCTCAATGAAAATCTTGTTCCATTGTTCACCTACCTTTCCTTTCACCTAATCCAAAGATCCCAAAAGCTTTCCTAAAAACTCTTCCCACCAAAACGAAGCCTACAAAATGCCCAGCAAGAGAAAAAAAAATGAGGCAAGAAAAGCGAAAAAAGAGGGGAGGAGAGAAAGCGAAAAGTAAAAGTCAAGACTGCTGTGTCACTTTTAAACCCAAAAACTATCACGAAATTTTGCTTTCTGTGCATGCCCAAACTTCGCAAGCTGATATTTTGCATCTGGATAAGAAGGCCGCGACGTGTGCGACCTGTAAACTGGTTTGTGGTAAGTTTTAGCTCTTTATAGCATGACAGTGACCAGAAAACCACTCGACTAGCTTCAAAACGCGTTTTTTGGGAAAATCTCCAGGAGCGAATGGGTTAAAGAACCCATGATTTTGTGAATGAAATCTGCCCTAGCCTGCTTGCAGAGCACTTCTTTCTGGCAGTGTTTTTAAAGTGTGTATGAAATTGTATGTGTCTCTGGTATTTCTTGTAGCTGTTGTTTTTTTATGTTTTTGTGATATGCATGAACAATTTCATACCCAGCACATGCTAAAAACCATGCCAGAAAGAAATGCCCTGCTACGATCAGGGTAGATGACATCTTTGTTGTCAGCAGTATGTCACCATTCCTCTCAGATGTGCCCTTGAGGAACCAGGGCCACTGTTAAGAATGGTGAGTCCTTTAGGAAGGACATGTATGTATGTGTATGTACTATCCATACATTTCAAGGTTGAAATTATTCATTATTATTTATACTCAGCAGAGTGATGTGCTTTCATCCCTGGTCTGATGTCACTCTTCCTCTGATGTCTATTGAAGAAATTTTGGAGGTGATACGAGAATGGATCAGACAGTTCCAGGAGCTAAGCAAAACATATCGCTGGGTTCAGGTAGTTTTTAATCTCTCATCTCTCTTTGAATGATTGCCCAATCATGTTAAATAAACAGCAATAAATTTTCAATTTTGTAAAAATGAAACCTACCTGATTTGGTCTATCTGATTAGCCCTGCTGTTTGTGGGTCAAGCAGTTTGTGAAATTTTTTTCATTTTATTGTTGAAAATTATAAACTTGAAACTTAAACTTGACCTTGATTGATAGTGAGAATTTCACAGATTAACACTTCATCTATTGGTAGATATTTGAAAATAAAGGTGCTGCCATGGGATGTTCGAATCCTCATCCACATTGTCAGGTAAGTCACACTGCTAGTGTTAGTGTCACTATACTGTATAATTTATTGATTTAATGATAATTGATACTTTTTCATTGCTACAATACTCATCAGCCCAAACAAAATGTTTTTTCAATGAGATTAGTGGGCAGGATAAATATAGTAGCAGGTGGCAAAGGTCAAATTTATGTGGTTTTAATATAAATTTGATATTACATGTACTCAACCTAAGTGTTAAGGCAGCAAATATTTCATTGGAATCAGCAATTGAAGTACTGGCCACCAGCCTACTCATTTTTACTGGGCTGCTCATTTAAACGGGTATAAAAAGGTAAATTAGAGACTTTACGAGACTGCGAGACCTTGGTTTCAAAATTTGAAACTGAGACTGTGCCCATGAACTCTGAAAAATAATCGACTCCTGAAGGCCAAACGGAAAGAGGAAACGACAAATCTGAGACTCCGAGACACGTCAGCAAAAAGAATTAGAGACTCCGAAATGCAAAAATCGTCTGAGAACAAGGCTTCAAAACCATTCAAAATGCTTCCAAAATTTCGAGATTGCGCCAGGATTTTATACCCCTATTTAAAGATAGTGAAATATCAAATGTTGGACAAAAAAATATTCTGTAAAAGGATAAGTATTAGTACATGATGTACATTGTATATTTTCATGACTTCTAATTGCCAACTTTTGATTTCCAATTGTTTTTAGATTTGGGCAAGTTCCTATTTACCTAATGAACCGGCAGTAGAGGTGAGTATACAGCATGATATTTTACGGTATCGTCTTCTTGAAGTCAGAACAAGCAATTACAATCTGCAGGGACTTTCCTCTTCTTAGATTTGTCTCCTTTTGCCTTCTGCTCTCTCATGACTTCTCGTGACTTCCCAAAATGGAGAGCTTGCTTGCAGGCTTCGTACATTAAGGTGGGAAATCTAACATGCAATTCATTTTGCATTTTTTTTCATCTTTTTACTTGTGTGGTAGGATCGTACCCAGAGGGAATATCTACAGAAACATGGAGTGCCGATGCTAGTTGAATATGCAAAACTGGAAGCAGAACTGAAGGTTAGTATGAGGAAAGTTAGCTGTTTTTCAATGATCATCTGATCTTAATGACTCCTGGCTAGGATGCCCTCTCGCAGAATCAGATCAACAAATAAGGCTAAACACAAGCCACAGAAGGTTGCACTAGTTGCAGTTGTAACCTGAGAAAACAGCCGACATTTCACGACGCCACCACTGGTTTCCCCGGGAAATGACGTCTGAGAAACGAGGGCAGAAATTCCATACCGGGGAGTCCTGCATGATACTGATGATGTTTCACTACCAAGATCTGATTGATTGAAAATTTGCTTCATCGAACAAGAAGCACTACCCAGATCTGCGTAGTCGTTTCTTAAACGTCATTTCGCGGGAAAACCTTTGGTGACACCGCGAAATGTCGGCTGTTCTTTCAGGCAATTGCATTTGGAGCTAAACCCTCTTTGTGTTGAACTGAACAATAAAATAAGGTAGATTTTTTTGCAATGGTGTTCCTTCGTTCTTGGATAAGATTACTTGGAGCCATTGCTGGGCTAACCGCAGGCTAACAGTACGTCGCCAGTAACATTACATTACATTCTCTTTAATTCAAATATCTGATAGGTTCGAATTGTTGTGGAAAATGATGACTGGATTGTAGTCGTGCCTTACTGGTAAGTTCCTGTACATGTAGCCTCTGGTGACAGTATTGAAGTTTTTATCAGAATGTCAAGAAAGCCAGGGATATTCGTTTAACCTTGGAAAAGGTTTCTGTTAGTGCTAGTCATTTGTTTTATCAGCCAAAAAAAAAACAAACCAACCAAAACATGGACTCGCCATTTTGCTGCCGTTTCGCTGTTTGTCGTCGATCGGCAACCCAGTTTCTGTGCCCCCTAGTTATCTAAAATTTTCGGCAGTCTTTTTGTAAGCTGGGAATGAGTTGCATGTACGCTAAACCAACCAAAAACCCTGCGCATTTGAGTCCGTTTGCCAAGCCAGTGAAATTCGCACACTGGTGTGCTTGTTGTTTCAGTTTTTTTGTGTGTTACTATTTCAAGGTCAAACAAAAAGCACTGTAATCTAGAACTCAGTTTGAAGCTCGTTAGGTGTACTAAAGCACAATATAGCAAGGTGTGTGCATAAGATTCCTTATTTCATCGTGGAAACGAACTAGATGAAAGCATACACATAAGTTCAATGATCCAGGTTTTTCTTTTCTTGTGCTCAGCTTTGTGCTTGTATCTAAGCTTATTTTCCCTTGACACCAGACTCCCGTACTCATACTTGTGCTTGCATCGACTGTTTACATCAAAACTTTGATATCAATATTATTCCCATACAGTACATAAACGTCGTTATGACTACATCCCTGAAATAGCTTCTCTTTTTCTGTTCTGGTTTTTGTTTTGTTTTTCACTTTATCGCGTAACTACTCTATTCCAGGGCAACATGGCCTTATGAAGTCCTCCTTCTTCCAAGAAGACACGTACAACGATTATCAGATCTCACTTCAGAGGAACAAAGAAGTAAGGCATGATCGGTTGAGAGTGGCTACACTTAGTGGAACAACCCCCCCCCCTCCTCTCAATACGACAGCTCTATTAATACTACCCTACCCCTGTTAATACGCCCACACCGTTAGTCAACCCCGTTAATATTACCACGGCACCTCGTCATTACGACTCTCCGTTGACACGACCACTCTGTTATAACGATTTTAAGTCATTTCCATATACTACAACCCCGTCATTGAATACAGGCATCCTGTTACATCGGGCAACGAGCATCTTTTGTATTCTTTAGCCGTTATTTTTTATAGGTTTTCACAGTTTTTAACCTCTACTAAGCGAGGAGTATACAGCATAGAATGACACATTTTGTAACTAAGTAATTGCATGCAATTAATTCTCTTCCTGAAAAGTACATGTATCGGGACCTTTACTTGGAAAAGACCCCCTGTGGTTTGTATTTTGTGTAGTCATTTAAAGGAGCTGCGTCACCAAATTTATCAAAATTCTAACAGCGAGAACTGCCACCAAATTGAGTGAAACTTAAAAATAATCGCTCAGAACATTAAAAGAAGGTAATAACACAGTAAATACAAAAGTAGGCATGGATGGACAAATTTGAAGATTTTATGGCGGGTTTTTGAAAACTTGTTAGCCGAACAGTTTTTCAAAGTTCATTGTTGTTTGTAACGTTTGATATAATGCTTGGGACGAAAATTTGTTGGACATAAAACTGTGAGTAACTTATAAGTAAATGGCCAAATTTATACTAGAGACAAGTTATCCGTCTAGACGGATAATTCGTCTAAGTATAATTCCGAAGACGAATTTTGCTCCATAATTCGTCCAGATTACACGACGGGTGTTTCGGTGTTGAGGAGCCGAGTTGCGAAAATATAGAAACCAGTCCCTCTCATGTGGAAACTTCGTCCAAAAACCGTCTACGTTTCGTCTAGATATAAATTTAGAGACGGATAATCCGTCGAAGACGAATCATTAGTACGTCTTGAAGACGTGCTAACAGACGAATCAGCCTCAGACGAATTTTGCTGCATAATTCGTCTTTAGCACCGAATTTATACTAGAGACGAATTATCTGTCTGAGACGGATAATTCGTCTCTAGTATGAATTCAGCCATTTTTTCGCTTACGTTAAGTTCCATAGCACATGAGGAAGTGTAATATTGGCAAAATTAACCCTTTATGTCCCGAGAGTGACTAAAATCAAGAGATTAGGTTATGAGATGATCACCAAAGAGAAAATGCCTTGATTGTTTAACAGATTCTCTCGACACATTCTGTAATGAAATGGATGGAGATCAGTTTAGAGATTTTGTATGTGGAGAATGGGGCTAAAAAAGTTAACAGTGAATTAGACAGCCGTGACACAGTCCCTTTTAGGATGGTTGGACTTTATCGTGATGTAACGCTACTCCGTTAATACGACAAAAATTTCATGGCCCAACATTGGTCTTTGTCTTAACGAGTTTCCACTTGATCCTTTATTATTTGATTGCCGCCCTTCTTCCAATGACGACTTCTTTCTTCAATATAATTCCAGGCCTTGCTGATATTATGAAGAGACTGCTTATTAAGTATGACAACTTATTCGAGGTGTCGTTTCCTTATTCCATGGGCTGGCATGGTAAGTAACAAGACACGTTTTTACTTAGCATTTTCAAACTAACGATATTCTTCCCCGCTGTAGCCTGCGTAGCAGGCGTTTGGAAGTTACATGCGCGAAAGAACGGGGTGACGGAGACGCGCGAAGGGCGAATGAGTTCCTCGGGCGACCCATTCTTTTTCCAAGCGCCTACTACGCAGGCTATCACCGCTGTGATTCTCTCTTTATGTTTTTAGCAATTACATTTTCATACTGCATTTTTCATTGCTTCTATCAGGAGCACCGACAGGTAAACAGGACACAGACTGCAGGTGAATGAATTTTATTAGACTATTCACAGTCGCCTACTTTTCCGTAAAGGTACGGTAAAACGGGCAACAAAAAGGTGCAACTTGTATTGTAGCATCACTGCAAAACTAGCTGAATGCCTTAAGCTATGTTGCGCGTTGAACTTCCTAAGAGTAAACCTGTCTTGCAGCAAATCAGGTGGTTGCAGGTTGCGAAAAATTGTTGCAGAAAGTAGGGGGTAGTTCTACTTTTTTCAACAGAATCTGTACATGTGGAGCGTTTTACCCAAAGCAAACGGCAAGTGATGTAACCCTCTTGTAATCAGTTTTATTCAATCAGAAGTCTGTATTCACTCAACGTGCAACAACCTGATTAGTTGCAAGACAGGTTTGAACGTGAGTGGTAAGACGCGCAACATCGCTTTTTAACTCGTTTTGCAGCAGTGTTGAAAAACAAGTTGACGTTTTAGTTGCCGTTTTACCATAGCATTGCCTCTTAGCAGAGGAATACCAGGGAAAATAGGTCTCTGCTTGCTGAGAAACTGTAGCGTAAGATCGTCGAGAACAAGCGCTACATGCGGCCATCTTGACTGAGTGTATAATGTGGGACAAAAGCGTTGATACTCTTGGCCCGGTATTTGCGTAGTAGACTTATCTATCCCCTCCCCCTGTGTACCCCACTCCCTCCCCCAAACCAATGTTGTGTTTCAAGCTATCAAGTCTTTTTTCAAGTACAAACAATATTGATTCGCGGGTGGGGGTAAAGCTGTTGAGCTCAATTTGGGACATACTAAATAGTCAGATTCTGAAACCAATCTTTGTCACACAGTATTTTGCAAGAGAAAGAGCAAAACGTTGGATGCCTAGGGGCCGGGAACGGCCACAAATGTGTTTTGGAGTATCTCTTGGAAATACTTGTTTACGTTAAGGAAAAAAACTACGACGACTGACAATGGCATGAAATTTTGTCGCGGTCGCCATTCAATACATCTACTGATACTGAAACCACCGCATACTGCATGGCCACTTTTTCACGGTAAATATGTGAGTCGGATGCGTGGCTTTCAGGCGATCCTACTCAGGTTGGGTATATTTGATAAACGTTTTCAAATCAAAACTCTTTGCTGTTTGTTTCAAATGACCGATTTTAAATATTACTTATCTTTTTGTCTGGCAGTCACTGGCAGCTACACGCCCATTACTATCCCCCTTTACTTCGTTCTGCCACGGTAAGCTAGTTGCTATTGTTGTTGATTACCAGGGAATTTAATTAAGATACCACGGAGGCGACGGCGGCGTAAGGCCTAGGCCAAACGTCGAACTTTTGGTGAGACGAACTAAACTTAGCGAGTTAAGTTCAGCGTCTGAAGATCGTCTCCAGGACAAACGTTGATCTTCACATGCGACGACGGAACTGAACTAATAAATTAAAAATTTGTTTGATAATGTAAATTTAGCCTCTTTCGGGAGAAAAATTATTAAAATTGCTTTTAGGTCTGATTCAGTTGATTGATTCGACGCGTCCCAGCTTCGACGACTGACCCAAAAAGTTAATTAATGTTGACCCAAATTAGAGTTTGGTTCGTTTTATAAAAAGTTCGACGTTTGGCCTCGGCCTAAGGCACCGATCTCTGCTTACATTTCAGAAAGCAACTCCTCGTCGGTGTTTTCGTGCAAGTGTATCCTTCTTTAAGTTTACTCTAACCCCCTAAAAAAAAAAAAAAACCACACGACCCAAAAATAACAAACAGGTTTAAATTGTTTTTCTTATTTACAAGTTTAGTATAATTAACAAGTAAGCTATTCACAGACTTTGTGTCATTACACGAGGTAGAGAAACAATGGAACATGAAGTCACCTACAAGGTTACCTTAACGGCAAGAGAGATGTTTTTTTGTACCTAATAAAACGAATCCTTTGTTGTTGTAGGTAAAGAAATTTATGGTTGGTTATGAGATGTTAGCTCAGGCACAAAGAGACCTGACAGCAGAACAAGTGAGTAATAAGTTGAATGTGGGGAGTGAGTCAGATTATGACATTTACAGTGTATTTACCAGTCAAATCGAGACTTTAACATCCATCCGTCAACGGGCATACTTTTCGTCTCCACGCCCAGGAAGTATAGGTATGTTAATAGGGCTGGTTCACCATTTTTGCATTGTCCATGATAGAGAAGTGTGACGTCACAGAAATAAAGTTTTATGAAGTTATAGGATTGGTTGGTATATCCATTAAGAACAAGATAGAAAAGGCCCCCCCCCCACCCCCTGCCAAAAATCAACTTGTTAGTGCAAATTAGCGGGGAGATCTAAGCACCGTATGAACTGATGACTTCATAAAAGTCCTTCTAAGATTGACATGGATCGTTTACGATCCACTTTCAAGATGGGCACGACCCAGCTTCACTCAGTTACAGAAACCTCGCCGAAATCACTGTTCCTTACGTGCTGGCAAAAGAGCTATCCGTTACAGCGTAGGCACTTAGCCTTATTTTGTTTGTTTGTTTTTATATTTCAAAACAATATTCCCTTCACTAAGCGATGTTCTTTCTTGTTATTTAGGCAGCAGAAAAACTCAGGAACCTTCCAGATGTTCACTACAAGGTAAAATCAGATTCATAGTCCAAAATGACGTGAAAATGTTATAGTTTTCTCCGTGCTGATTGGCCCGCGAAGTCGGGTTTTGAGTGAAAGATTCTTTTGATTTCTGCAGATAAGATTGAGGGAACAGGGGCTAATTAAAATAGGGGCAAAAGAATAGTTTATTTCTGCCATTATGGAACAAGATGGAATAGTGCTCAATAAAGGCTCCCCATGCCTAACCCAGGGGATAAACTTGTTAAATACTTTGAGATTTTTTCCCCTAATTTTGAAGAGCAAGGTAACTAGCATTACTGCGCATATCGTTGTGGCAAGGAATGCTGCTAATAGTTGTTGACGACTGTCTTACAAAATAATTGTTAACAGTAAAACTGCAATGTTTGTTACCGAGAACTTTTCCATAGAAAAATAGTTTTGCCATTGATTATTATCTTTTCTTCAAGTTTGTAATCGACAGCCTGCTTCACCGACTGGCTTTGTTTTCATACCATAACTTTCTGTTATCGACACTAAATACTTAGTTAACAACAACTTACTATAAAATCAAGATCCCAGTCTCTGGCGTCCCAGAGAGCGCCAACTCGCATTCCTAGTCCGTTCAGAAGGTTCATATTCTCCTCTGTATTTCGAATTGTTATTTTCAAATACTTATAAGTTCTTTTGTCTATTGTTTTTTTGGCTAATTTGTTTATACATCTTTCAGAACAAATAAGACACAAGACAAAGAAAGGCAAATGGACTCTCTGAATCAGAGACTCAATAACAGAAAAGCAAGACTTCTTGGTACTTGAATATTGCGGGACGGTGAAGGGAATATCAATAAGTGATGGCGTTTTGTGTCCTTTTTATAAGAGTTCTTCACGATTTAATACGATCAATTGTTTGGATAATAAGCAAGGTGTTAAATTTACCAGCAGCCTGTCAAGGTTTTCAGTCAGTAAAGGAACGACTGTCTGATCTTCATTTGTGTCATCTCTAGGTTTCCTTTTAAATTAAGCGAACTAGGTGTAGGGATTTAGGGTTAGGAGACAAGGAATATATATATTTAGTAAAATCCAGCTAGTGGTCTATTATCAATGCTGCGTTCTGATTGGTTGAGCTACCAATAGGCTATATGTTATATCCCACTAGTAGCGAAAAGCGCTGACTTTTTGGCGGCAAAAGAGGATTGAAGTCTAGCTTTAACTAGCTAGAGTTGTTTTATCTCGATATTTTTGACCAACTAGTTGGATTTTACTAAAACAATTATTCCGCTCGCCCTCATGGCCTCTGAGTCAATAGGCCATTCGGCCTTCGGCCTTATGGGCTATTGACTCAGAGCCCACTTGGAATCGAGGAATAATTGTTAAATATACTTTTTCATGTTTGTATTACGTTACAGCCATTAGTGTTTTGGAAAACCTGACCGGGACCCGGCCATTACGGACACCGCTCTCTTACGGACAATTCTCTTGGTTCCAAAGATACAAAACTTTTATGTTATTATCTAGCTGATCTGTACTTCTATAATGCACACACCTGTCTATTACAGACAGTTTTGTTTGTCCTAATCATGCCCAATTTATTCCGATACCAGTCGCTTTGGAGACCGCGCTGACCTGGAAACTAGTTTTGCCACTTTGAAAGGCGTTTTGCTGAACCCGTAATAAAAAGTACGCGTGGGATTCACCATGATGATTTTTTTGGGTGATTTTTGCAGGCATGTCATTAAAACTTGAAAACGTTGGCCCAACCTTTTCAAGTTTCAGTCCATATCCATCCTTGTCATCCGTAGCAATAGACGATAGGAAACAGTTTCGATTTGCAGATCAGTTAAGAAATGGTATCTGAATGGAATCTGATGCGCGTAAGCTGATTGTGTCCCTTTAAATTCCCGTACCTTGCATCAATAGAGAAATTTTACAAATGCACCCGCTTCAACCCTAGGCACGTACGGTGCCTGTGATATCTTGGGAAGAATACACTTCACTCCTGTTTTACATCCTTCCCATATTGTCCTGGGTCCTCCTTTCAGCGCATTTGAGGGAGGCCTGGAGAAAAGAAAGCTCAGCCATTCCTTTCTCTTTGTTGTGAATGAATTGCCCTAGTAGTTTAAATTAAGTTTAATACGGCCGTCAAGGTTAGATGTTTTTAATACAAAAATTATAATTATTGTATCTTAAAATTATCTGTTGTTAGCTAAAACACAAATACGATGGATAATAAATGCTATTTTTTTTAATTAACAAGATTCTGTAGTACTTGAATAAGTGAACCAGTAACCAATAAGCCATTTGCATGATGGCGTCTTTTTAGTGGACCTTTCTTTAGCAGAGAGACTCCAAAAATGCAATCGTTTCTTTTTCTTCCTTTTTTTTATGTGTGCGCGTCAAAAGGGGACTCATGGTCCCAGGTGAAGAAGAACTTGAAACGAGAAGCCTTCAAATAACACGTTAACTCGTTTACTGTGTTGAACTGCTAACCATACAATTCGAGTACAAGCGCAAGTGCCAGTGCGAACGCCGCTAAAAAGCACATGGTAAAAAATAAAAGAAGATTGCTATTCTAAACCAGGCGTTCCTAGCGGAGACCGTGGAAACTGGGGATAAGAATCGCGAGGAATCCACGACTGCCTTGGCAAAGATATGCAGCTAGGCTTAATGATATGGTCACCGCGACCGGGGAGATGGAGTGGCGACAAGCGCCTTCTGCAGACAATTCCTTCAAACTGCGAAAATTTAATACCACGCCGCCCAAATTAAAGGCGGAAGACAGCAAAGGTTTATGATCGACCACGATCGCCTAGAACTCTGGGAGTAGTAGAACGCAGGCATTTTCCGAGACGCGCTCATTATATATGCAGTTAGACTACATGTAGAATTGCAACTCACTTTGACTCAATTTGACGCACAGGTTGTCGAAACGTCAGTCACTGTCAACAACAACAATCCTATTCAGGACTACCTTCACCCGGACGATCATACTCAACCTACTTATGAAATGGATCCAGGGTTCAAACCTCTCACAGAATTGCAAATTGCATGTTCCAGTTCGGCCAAAAGCACGAAAGTGGCAAATTGCGACAACCCACGAAAATATAGCCTGAGAAAACAGCCGACATTTTGCGACGTGCACTGGAGTGGATTGACCAAGGCTGCGGGAAAAAACGCGAGCACTCTCAATTCAAAGGAATTTCGGAACAAAAGCTTACTTTAAATTTTCTCAGTTGTTGTAAGAGACACCGGGTCACTTCACATAGCAGCCCAGAGATCTCACATGAAGCGACAGTCACACAGATCACGGGTCAGTGGGTCACCAACCACTGATGTCTCGGACTGCGATGTGCTCAACATCTCGTCCTAAATCACTTTACCCTTTAGCTTCATTTACCAAGATAAAATTAGACTTTAAATACTCCTCCCTAGAGTCAAGTACAACTCTTTCTTGGGAACTGGGTACAAGCTGGAGGGTGGCGGTGGGTGGGAGCCAAAGCTGGCAGGTTGCGATACAAGTATGCTGTTTTTAAGTCCCTACCAGGTAGGAGGAAACTTGTGAGGCAACAAATTACATTTATCGCGCACTTCGTCCCTTTTCCAGATTAAGAAACTTCTAACAAGTCTTGAATTTGTTTTGAGCGTGAAAATTTTCAGACAAGAGTTAGTCATTTTAAAGAAGACTATTTACTTCCCCCAAAAGAAAAAATGAGTAAGCATGAAAGTCGGAAGACGAAATTGCCACAGAGCTTTCCCACTCGATTAACCTATTTCCAGCAAATTACTAAGGCGCTGCAAAAGAAAATCTAGTAGACAGTGGATTGGAATTAGTATCGTTAATTTATTTATGACATTCAACACAGATACCACCCACGAACATTGAAAGGCTACAGATCTATCAGACGAATTCCAATCGGCAATGGCAACTTCACAGTATGATAGTAAAATTCTTCAGTCTTCTTGAAATGGTTGTGTGAACGAGCCATTCGACATAAACCATACCCACAAAGCCTTGCGTGATGCGAAAGACGCCTACCGCTGACATTTTTTCAGGGGTTCGCCTGATAAGCTCCTGAAGTCTTTGCACCCGCGCAGAGCAAGCAATATTTTTACAAAAGAAAAGAGTTTTCTCCAGTTTTTTAAGCCAGAGGTTTTGCTAGGCAAAAGGAGCTCGCTCTTTTTTACCATGGGAAAAGGTGTTATGTTACACAAAGGTACAAAATATACATCGCGGCAAAGTTCCAGTCCTCGACCAGTTGCCATATCACGTCTCTTCGTTCCCAGAATCCTCGCTATAATCCATACAATCGTCGTCGTCATCGTCGTCATCTACGTCATCGGCATAATCATCGTCGTAGAAATCTGTAAAATCCTCGGGTTCGGATCGCGACGGTCTAGATTTTACGCAGTAATCTTCCACTGTCGTGGG